AGTTTATATTTAACATGCACATGCACACATATCTAGTAAATGTATAAACTATAACTCTAGAAGCACAAGGAAAAGTTTTACTCACCAAAGATGAGAACTGAGCTCACTGTCGTTAACAGTTGAAAGAGAATTGGTGGAATAATGGAATCTGAGTGCTGAAAAGTGAACATGTGCCCACAGCTTCATTTAGGAAGCTGAGCACAGTACTGGGTTGTTTCGGTTGTTGCTCCCAAGCAAGGTGATAGAGATATTCGAAAAGTGCTTGTTTTTTGAGGGAAATTCATCCGGGCAGGGTGGTGGTATGCTGGCAGGTGTCCTGATGTCGACCTGATAACCTGATGGAAACCTTAAGAAGATTGTTATTAACTGGCTAGGTTCAGTTTCTTCTAGTATAATATTTATAGTAGTAAGATTGAATAATGCTGAGTTATGCAAAATACTGAGCACTGCCTAGCCCATTGTGAGCACTCAATAAATGTTACTTGGTTCACAGCTCTGTCTGGGGCTTGCTTCTGTGTGATTCTAATCATGGTTTGTAAATGACTCTTGTATGCCTTCTGCTTTGTCAGCAAGAACCAGAGAGCGGTGTGGGAATTATATCTCTTCCCATATGCTAGACATGTGATGTAATTAAATTTAAATGAAATATTTCTTTGTTACTACTTCATAATAGTAATAAGCTATTAGGTATGTGAAAGTTCTTTGTGAACTCAATCATGATAAAATGACAGCAATGACATTAACAGCAGGTAAATTTCACTAAGGCACCATATGTCACGCATTATAGCTTGTGAGACTGATTCTCTTATTTTTCTCATTTGAAAAGCAAAGGAACAGAGAGGTTAAGTAACTTGCCCAAATCACACAGCAGAGCAATGGGAGTAGGACTTGAATGCAAAGTCTTTCCCCTTTATGCTGCTGCGTTATCTCTGTTATACAGTTCCATGCAAGATTTACCTCAGCTTTATAATTACTTATTACACTAACGTTAGTAAAAGGAGGGGGAAAAAGCTCCAGTTTCCTAACTTTTCCAGTTTTGATCTGCTTTGTTGATGTGTAATTATGGGGCTAAATGGGATTATATCTATTAGGACTACATTAGTAAGTTTAGTTCATAGATGATTTGTTGGAGTTGTTCTGGGTAAGATCATTTATTAATCACTTTGAAAACAACCTGTAGTCAGGAGTGATGGCTTTTATCATTTTGCAAAAGTAAAAGTCATGGTGATTCCCTCCCCTTTAGAGGAAATCTAACACATGGGAGAAATTTTGGCCTGCTGTAATTTATGTCGCATGGCAGAATGCCTGTATCACTTAAATATTTAACACGACTACTGTGGCTTAATCTATAGCTATGTGCACTTTCACATTTTGTCTCCAAATAGAATTCTATACTTACTAAGACATTTGTCGAATTTTTACATTCATCAAGGAAGAGTAAAAAATTTCACGTGTGGTTTCTTAAAAATGAAAAGAGAAGTTTGTACAATCGTGTAAAACAAATTTAGTTGATGCTTAGTAGAATTTGGTGTGTTGGGCATGAAATTAAATTTCCAGCTTTTTAGGAGTTTGGTTAAATACTATTCTTAAGTAACAATTTCTTCCTTCTTGGTGTCAGTGTTTTTAGGTGGGGAGCAGATGAAGTTAAATTTGAAATTTTCCCAAATTAATACAGTTTCTAAATTTGCATTTCTTAGCTGTCATATATATTATTGTGTAGCTAGCTGGTTGTCTAAAACACATTCATAATGGAGCAGAACAGACATAAACGTTTATTGTCTTGTGAGGCTGATTCTCCTGTTTTTCCCATTTGGGAAGCGAAGGGATAGAGAGGCTAAGAAACTTTCCTGAATTGCACAGCAGAGCAGCGGGAATAGTCCTGGAACACAAAGTCCTCTCTCTTTAAGCTGCTGTGTTATCTCTTGTGATTCCAGTCAAGCCTATGTCCTGTTTCTAATTGTGCCTATCTCTTGGTTCACCACACTTAATTCAGGTTTTCCCTGGTCTCAGATGTAAACATGAATCTTCAAATGTCCCCTGGACACATTTAGACCGAGTCACTCAGTGGTGAGCTCTCCAGGATTTGAACATGGTGGGCCTGGCCTCCAGCCTTGGCCTCTGTGTGGCCTTTCTGCCCTGTTGTGTTTTTGCCTTGGGTGCCTCTGCTGGTTCTGTGTGCCCAGTTCTCATGTGTGAAAGCCAAGGCTGAGTAGCTTCTTGAAAGCTGTGGCACGTGGTAAGTGTGGAGGTGAAGTTCAAGCATACCCAGGTGCAGCTCAGTCCAGAGCCTGACACACTGTGTTCTGCCTCAGTTGTTGGATGAGAAAGGTGGTCTGGTGGATTTCTGTTATGTGAAAGGCTGCTCTGCCTTTCTGCATGCCCTTCATCAATCCAATTATTCTTCTCTGGACTCCTCCAGCCTTGGAAGTCTTCCTCAGGGTGTAAGGACCACCTTCGAGGGCCTGGGATTATACGTGCACTAGGTTGTGATACTGTGGAGAGTTTTTTGCATGTAAGGGCTGAAGAAAGCTGTTGGGCCAGTCTCTGTTGGAAGTCAGAGTCATTTCAGCCCTACCGTCTGACTTGTAGCTGATGGCTTGGATCCGTTGGCTTTCAGTAGTGGTTTGATTTATTTGGATTTCACGAGGCACAGATCTAATCTGTGGTTTTCTGCTCTATTCTGGCCTTTGACAACTTCCAAGGTTCATCTCGCTCAGCTTGTCATTTCACTGTCCACGTGAGCTGGGGGCATCTGTAGGCCTGGGGACCTTGCTGTGTCACCCCGTGACAGGCAGTGTGTAGGAATGTTAAGTGAGATTGGCCTGGAGATCAGTCCTGGAAGACCCGTACTGTTCAGGTTCTCCACAGTGACAAATGGCAGCTTTTCAGCTCAAGTGGCTTCACATTGGGGTTAGCATGAGAGAATTTTCTTTCCTTTCCTGACCTTGCCCCCTCCTTGCCTCCTGCTCCCTTCCACTTCCCTGCTTTCCTGTCCTCACCTAGCCAGTTCCTGCTTTGCATTTGCTCCACTGCCTGATGGCATTTCCCTCTGCATGACTCACCTGAAGGACACTGAGTCCTCTCAGGCAGCGTCGGCTGTTTTTTCTGTTAGCTACCTGACCCTTTTTACTTCTCCAACTGAACTCTCTGATATTTAGCCATTTGTCAAACACGTAGTTAATTCCTTGGATGAATTCAACCTATCTACCTAATGAGCTAGGAATTTTCTGACAGGTGGTTGTAAAGAAATGTAGAGTAAAAGGAGACTTTTTGTTGGACTCTTTTTGGCTTTAAATGGAGCATAAAGAGCCTTCAGGAGAGGAGGTTTGTTTGTATCCACTTTGGCCTCTGACTGACTCAATGTTTCATTCAGAGTTTTTAAGGATGTTCACTTGCATGGTGATGAGGACATAATCCAATGAAATGAACATTGTCGTGGATAAAGCCCCACAGCGTGCAAGCAGCAGGTTCTCTAGCTACTGCTCCAAACCATGTTTGAAAACCTGAGAGGGCACCCCTGCCCCATAAACTCACAGTGATGGAGCTGTAGTTCTTTCTTCTGGGGTTTTCTGAACTTAACTGGGATGGTTCCACTTGTGAAAAGACTTTCTAATGTTTTCAGCTAAGAAGGCTTGTAAGAGGAAATAGCCTTGAACATTTCCACATCTGTCATCTGGTTGCAGCCGTTAGCTAATCTCCTACCACTGAAAGAAACTTGGCCAGAACAGGAAGCAGCACTGAACTCATTTCATGTAACTGTAGTCAAGACATGATGGGATTAGCGGGTGAGGCCGAAGGAGAGAGTAAATGTTTGGGGTATTGACCATACAGTCATCAACATTGCCCCCTTTCCTTCTTACTTTGAAAATACATCGGTTGTGTGTTGTTGATGAGTGTAGACGACTGCAAGTAGCAGGAGAAATCCATTGTTTGGGGTATTTTTCTCCCCCTGTAAAAGCCTGGAGGAACAGGGTGGAGTCTCAGGATATGGGATGTCATCATTCATCCCCGCTCCTGTTCTCTGCTCTCATTGTTGCGGGGCTGGCTTATCGCCTTGTGGTGATAGCATTGCTGCTGCCCAGGTGGCCGGGGATGGAAAAAGTTAGAAGCATGAAATGTCAAAGTCTATCCAAAGTCCCCTTTTTATCCAGAAATGCGTGCAACACTCTGGGAAGATTTCCACTGGTGCCTGTCAGTCAGCGCTGAGTACCTCCCTCCCAAGCCAATCACAGGCCAAGGACAATGAGATGACCATGCTGAATTTGGTCAGTGTGTCCTTTGGCCTGGGATAGGGGATGGCCACCTTCAGGAATCCTGTCGGGTTTCATTAGTAGGAATGAAGGAATTTATGTGGCAGATGCTGTCAGCCTTAAATTAAGTTGAAGACATTGATACAGTGGTAATGAGAAATAGTCATTACCAAATAGTATTTGGTGATTTTTATTTGACCCAAGCTTTAAGTAGTTGACCAACATAATTTCTTTCACTGACCAATTCCTATTATCCTGGCATAGAAATCCTACTAATACATAACACCCTTAAGATCATTTACTCCTTAGCATCCATGTTGTAAAATTCATTAGGAGCCTTATACACCAACTCAGTAGAAAGTCCTCTCAATCAGTGTGTGTGTGACTTCTAATGAATTTTGTAAATTAAATGACAATAAACAAATGACCTTAGGTTAAGTACAACTGAATTGTAAAGATAAAAGTGTATATACTTTTTTTTTAATGAGGAGGAGAAAAAAAGTCATGAAATCCGCAATTAATACAGAGCTATTTGCCTCCATGGCAAAGGAAGCAAATACTTCACCCTTATCCGGTCCTCCTGCCTGGCACATTCCGCTCTGTCAGCTTTTATCAGGGACCCTGGCCACCAGCACACACCCCTCGCTGAAGAATGTGGATGTGATGGGGAAAAGATGGTGGCAGCAGATAAAAATAATGAGTCAAACTTAAGCCTAATGATAGGCTATTTTTTCTCACACTTAATTACATAATAGAGAAACTTTTTCTCTCCTTATGATCAAAATAGCCTGCTATTTATCATACTGCCATTAAGGATTTAATTACTAGTGACTGAGGAGGGCGATTTGCAGGAACCTAAAATTAAGGCTAATCTCTGAGAAGAAAAAAAGTAATTTAGTGCTCAGATAAGATAAATATGTTCTCATGTTGATTTCATGAATAAAGCAAGAGTTTAATGTGGGAGGCATTAATAGCTAAGAGTCACAGCAGCGAAATAGGGAATTTTGAAATAACCTCACTTAACATGTTTGTGTCTGGTTATACCTCAGGTCAAGTCATGCTCCCCCAGTCAGGTAAAATCTCCACTGCGTGCTGGTGTGTAGCATTCATATTAATGGTGTTGAGAGCCAGGTGGTATACACAATTAACTGTCACTTCTTGGTCGTAATTAGGGAGACTGTATAATTTATCATCAGAGCCGGGGTATTTCTCCCAGCCTAAGTATTTATAGTCTTGGGTAAATGAACATGACTTCATCACAGGATGAGATAAATTTTAGCAAGTTATCTCCATCCAGACTTGTCTAAGTTTTGCCTCCCCAGCTCTCAGATTGTGCTGCATTTAGTGTGACAATGGAATGGCAGGTCAGGGCCTTCTCCAAATTTCCTGGCTTCTTTCGGTGACTGCATTCATGCCAGGTCTTCCCCCTCTGGAGAAGGAATGTCGCATTTTACTTCTGAATTTGAGGGAAAGAATGAGCATGTTCAGTTAAACCCCTCTGGGCTGATCTACCTGGTGACAGCCAGGAGATGTGCTGACATGATGACCACCTGGCAGGCTTTCTGGGCTGATTTGCTCTTGGGGGAGCAGTGGAGAATGGAGAGGTAAGAGGTGCTCATATCTTGGGCAGGTTTGATTTGGGGACAGTTAATTAGTAACAAAGCCCGTGATGGACACATTGTGAGCCCCTCCCTCCAGTCTAGTGCATATAGCTGAGAATGCCAATAGTGACCTCTATTTGTTCAATTTTGGCCTTTACTTCTTAAAGTGTCACATCTGTTCTGATGACTGCTTGGTTTCTACCTTGAGATTGGCAGCTCTTTCTGTTTGATCATGGACTTAACTGTTAAAGTCATTGGTTTAAAAATAATGATGAACTAGGACCTTTGTGGGTGAGATGAAACTTGTTGGATGATTTCTTGGGGCAAGTAGGTCTCATTGTCTGTAAGTCAATATTCCCAACAATAATGAGACTTCTGCTTATTAAAATAGTCTTTCTTTAGTATGCTTCATTTGCAATTCTGCACTGCATATGAATGTTTAAAACTTATTTATTAGTACATGTTTGTGATACATAATGACTGTTTTCACTGTGGATATCTGGCATATGTATGCGACACATCTTAATTCCTTTTTAATGTCCCCTTCCCCTGTGGCCCTCCTCCACCCTCCATGTCTTGGTCTCCTTCCCGTTTGTAGTAGATCTATCTCCCTGTTTCCGTTTATTTTGCTCTTTATTTATACTTTGGATTTCTCACATAAAAGAAACCATATGGTATTTAAGCTTGTGTGTCTGATTTATTTCACTTAGCATTATGTTTTCAAGGTGCTTCCATTTTCCCACGGATGATTCTGCAGCAGAGTAGTGCTCCATTGTGTGTCAGTACCACGTTTTCTTTATCTGTTTGTCTGCTGATGGACATGTAAGCAGATACTTCTAAGACTGAGGCATTATGAATTGTGCTGCTGTGAACATGGGTATGCAGGGATCACTGTACCGTAATGCCTTTAAGTCTTTTGAGAAGATACGCAGAAGCGGGATAGCTGGGTAGAATTGACTTAGTTTGTTTTGAGAATTATTCCACGTTTGAATATTTTTTCCTTTTTAAAAAAAATGTTTAAATGAAAAAAAGAATAAAAATGATACAGAATTTCAAAACAAAGTGATAAATTAACAATGTTTAATATATTGCATATTGTTATCTTCAAAGTAGTTGTTCAGATTACAAGATACAGGCATGAAAAAATGATCAAACAATGAAAGCACAAACCATTCTTTTTGATGAACTAGTAGAGATTAGTACTATAATTCTCCATCTTGTGTGTGTATATATAAATATTTATATAAAATCTTTTTGAATATTCTGTTAAGAAAATGGACTTTGCCAACTGAATTCTCTGTTCAAAAAGTCCTTTACAAGTATTTTTCTTCTTTACCTTCTTATGTAAATTATTCTTTTTTAGATCCATTATAAAGAAGAATATAAAAAGTCTAAGGACAAGTGTACATTTGTGACTGACACTCCTATGCTGAATCATGTAAAAAATATTGGTGCATTTATTTCTGAGGTAAGATTCTTTACAAAGTGGCTTGTTACAGTCTCTGCCTGGCATATGCAAGGTCATGAGTTCAATTTCCAGTACTGAAAAAAAAAGTCTTGTTTTTCTTTTTTATATTATATATACATATATATATATATATATATATATGTATTTGTTTTTCTGTTTTATATTTTATAGATAAAAGCTCTAGGTAATAAAGTTGGAAAATATTTTTGAAAGCACCACTGAATGTTGGTAATATCTAACTTAATTCTATGTATTATGTTAACTTATGTAAATCGACTTTATTATATTTGAGTAGATTTAGTAACCACTCTGTACTTTGACTCCAGTCCTTTCTTATTTATACAGAATTACTTTTGAAAAGAGATAATTTTATTCAACAAATAGGAAGCATTGGCAAAATAGTTAACTATAAATGTTTCAACTTACTGCTTTCCTAATAGATATATTAGAGATAAACGATTGAATTTAATGTTGAAAATAAATTATATGAGCTGATTCCATAAAGTGAAGTATCTTTGACTAATAGTTTCAAATTAATGTAAACTGTTTTTAGTGGGATAAAACTCAGCTCAACAGAGATACCCATTATGAAAGCACAAAGTGAGAAATACACTGTATTCATTTTCCAGCTGAAAAATCATGTAGTCTCTTTCTGAGGTCATTTCTAACTGCAGCTTATGCTGCACTATAAAACATAATATTAAAAATAATTTCTGTGCCAAGGCATTATGGTAGCCAGTGAATAAACTTGAAAAAGCCAGCTAATAAAATAGCATTGTAAATGACTGACCTCTAGTGTTTCTTAAGTTATGTTGGAAAAAGATCAGTGTGAAGTTCTCAGTATTATTTCTGCTAACATGAAACCATTTTGAGAAAACCAGTACTTTTTTTTTTTTTATTATGACCAACATCTTAACTTGTGAGGGCAAAAGGCTCACACAGGATATGTGCTCAGTACATGAACTCCCATATCAGCCTCTGAATGGGGACTGATATGGGACTCTTCCAAGAATATGGTTCTGTTTATTTGTATTAGCTGTATTACTTCTGTGTAGGGAAATTCTGGTGTTCTTGTTCTCTGTGATTGATTAATTTTCCTGAGGAGTTAACTGCAGAGCACAAATTTGCAAGTGTGTGATCTATTACCTTCCCTTGAACCTAATTTCCCCAAGAGGAAATGGTGAATGAGTGTTTGTCTTTTGGAGAAATGATGGAGCTTGCCCAGAGCCCGTGCAGGCTGGGGGGTGGGGAGGCTCACATAACACACAAACACCTTCCACCCTTGACTGTGACTGCAGGGGGATGAGAAGGTTGGAATAAACACATTTGTTTCTTTCCTTTTTTTTTTTTTTTTTAAAGAAAATTATTATTTTAATCACACAAATCTACAGCATATAGTATGGTAATTCAATACATATATACAATGTATGATGATTAAATCATTGTAGTTAATGTTTTCATCTCCTTAAACATCAAAAAATCTTGGTTAGTGTGTACTAATTGTACATATTCATGGGGTAGAGTGTGATGCTTCAATACATGCATTGGGAGGTACTGATCAAGTTAAAGTAATTAATGTTTCCATGGTCCTATAACTGCTTTGTGTTTGGAGCTAAGCTTTTGTCTTCTAGTTTCTCATAAAATATAGAATAGGTGCTGCGAACTTCAGTCACCCGATGGTTGCACTGAATACTGGCACTTACTACTACTATGTAACTGTGTTCTGCTACTTAGTTTTTTTTTAAAGTTTTAAAACATTTATTTTTATTAGTATGTGTGTATATAAAACAAAATGCTTACATTACTTGTGTGGGGTTGGTCCATGTACATAACTCACTCCAATTCCTTTTTCTTTCCTTCCCCTTCTCCTCCTTCCATGTCTTGATCCTCTTCCCACTTGAGAAAGATCTGTTTCCCTCCTTCCTATTATCTGTCTTTCATTTCGTGAGACAACAACCCTAAAATTTCACATGGAACCTGAAGAGACCCAGAGTAGTGACAGCAGCCCTGTTCACCTACCTGTCATCCAGCCAACCTCCCAGTGTCCCCCTGCTGTCAACCTCCCCAGCCACTGTCCTCAGGTCCTAGACGGGGACCACTTGGAATTTCTGGAACCACTCAAATGACCCAGTGATTTCTTCACTGATGAACATACAAAACCATCAATGCATACAAGTAGATTTACTTTTAGAAACATGCATGAGTTTAACTAGAAAAGTAGTCATTACATTCTTGTATATCTCACGTAAAGGTTTTTCCACAATAAATGAGATTTGTTGCTGTCTCTTTAGAGAGTGTTCATCGGTCTAGTATCTAAAAGTAAAATGTTTCTGCGGATTTTAAAATCAATTCTGCTTCTAGAAAAAATTTCCTTTATTTTCTTCTTATATTAAGTTAAAAAAGAATTTTTCCTCCCTCTTAGGCAAAATACAAAGGCAAGACAAAGGCTGAGCTTTCCAACTCTCTTTACAAGCGGATGCCAGCCACCATTGACAGTGTCTTCGCAAGAGAAGTTTCCCAGCTTCAGAGCGAGGTATGGCTTGCACAGACTGTTGCTGATGATCAAGCATATAACATCATATAAGTTATTTAGTATTGGATAAGAGTTATTTCTTTTGAGTGTTAAACATTGAATGAAAATTTGGAGCAATTGCTCATATACTACCAGTAGTCAATGGTAAAAACATGCAAGGGACATGCAAGTTCAAGTCAGTGTTGTATTTGTCCACATCCCATCCCTTCCTATTTATAGAGCCATTTTTAATGTCATTTCGCTTGCATAGATGTTTAATAGCTGTTATTAAATTAAATAGCTGTTGTGATTTAACATATGATCCCTAAGCAGAGGATATGTCATGTTATGTGACTTTTAAAGAGCCACATAAATAATGGTTGACTTTGGGGCCCACTGTCTGCAATGCATCTGGTAGACACGTAGATCCTGAAATTCCTGCTTTGCAGCACACTTTTCACACAGGACCTCTTCGGCTACCAGCAAGAGCCACCATTAGTGTATGTGGAGATTTTAATGATTGTGGGTTGCAGACAAACTTAAGAATGGTCATTGTATCAACTCATTTTGAATCCACAGAAGTATAGGGGTGATTAATTCCTTTTTAGTATACTGACATGTAAGTGTTCTTCAAGTATTTAATCTTTTGCATTTCTTAAAACAGAATTTCGAAGTGTTTGTTGCTTCCTAACTGTTTTCTTCATAGCATAATCTGAGTTTTAATTTTTGGCACATTATTTATCTGTCACTTGACTATCTAAGCTACCTGAATGAGAGTAGGGACCTCAACTGTCTTGTTCTCTCTGCTCTACTTCTGTACCTAAAACAGTGCCTGGTCCTTGGGGAGTATTCAGTAAATATTACAAAATAGGTTTTTTTGGATTTTGAAGATTAGTACCTGTATGCAGTATATAATATTCGCACTTCTTGTGTGGAGTTGATGCATGTACATGACACATCTTAATTCCTTTTTTTCATCCCCTTTCTTTCTGGTCCTTCCCTCTCTATCTCTTGACCTCCCTCCTTCCCCTTTGAGAAAGTTCTATCTCTTTACTTCCTATTATGTATCTTTTGTCTTGCTCTCTATTTGTACTTTGGGTTACTCATGTAAAAGAAGCCATGTGTGTCTGATGGTATTTAGATACAATGGAGTACTAGCCTACCATATGAAAGTAAATTTGAGTCATTTGTAGGGAAATGAATGCACCTTGAGACCATAATGATTTTATCAAGGATATGCTTCTCTTTGCATGGTTTATGTTCTTTATGCCATGTTATAGGTTAGTTAGAATAGCAAGCACATAGAAGTAGTGACTCTATGTCACTACTGTATACTTCACATGCATTTATTCCATTTAATCCTCACAATAACCAATTTTACAGTTGTGCAATCTGAAGCAAGAATTTTAAGCAACTTTTCCAAGGTCACAAAGCCAAGAAATGGCAGAACCAGTCCCCAAACATGGGTAGTCTGACTCCAAAGTGTGAGTTCTTAATCACACACCATTTCACATTTTCCTTCCATTTCTACCCATCTTCTTCTTAGTAAGCAATTTTACTTTGTCTCCAGAATCTTTTTTTAAGCAGAGGATACCTCAATGATTATAAAATAGCCTGTAAATCAAATAGTCCAAAAAAATACTGAGCATACTTATTTTTTGCAGAACATCTTTAAGTACTTCGTTATTACAAATTTAAACATCCACTTCATATTGTTTGGCAGTGAGCTAATCTCAGCTATGCGACATGAGGCTAAAAATATATGATGTCAAGATTCTGCATGGCTGGCTTTGCCCCATATGCCCTTTATTTGTTCTGCCAACATCTGGTCATCAAAGTACTTGCTGGTAATACTGAATACTTTATAAAGTACATAGTTGTAATGCAACATTTGATATGGGGCAAGTAATCATTATGCCATAAATACAGAAAAAGGAAAAGAACCTGTGTTTTTAAGTTATTTGAGAAGCTAACATTTTCAAATAGTCACATCCTTCTTTCCTTGGACACATACAGTTTTTCTCACCTTTGAATAGCATGCATGTTTTTGTAGTACATCCATACATGCAGTGTGAAATTTAACATGAAAAATAATCCATGGTGGATATTTTGGGATTTTCCTACTGTTTTTGATCAGAACAGGTTCTCACATTGTTAATATGAGTCATCCCGTGATAGAATAGATGCCACTGGAGAGGGAATGTGTCTGTACTCATTAGCAGTGGTTTCCATTGAGGTGAATTTCTGAACTTGTCAAAAGAAAAAGCCTAGATTCTGAATAAAGTGTCTGTCTCAAAGATTTGCATAATTGCAATGATATTTCTCCAGATTTATCTGGATTAATTTTAGTATTGTTGAGAGTCTGTTTCTCTGAGTGCACCTTGCAGTCAGAGGCAGGGGAGCAGAAGAGCTATTTCTAAGTGTGGTAATTAAACAACCGAACTTTTACTGTGTCCACATAGTATCAGATTTATGGCAATATATTTCAGAGTATCAGAGGAATTTTGAAACTTAACGGCATTCTGGGTTTTAATGAGAAGCCTGAGGCTTTTGAGAAATTATTATCTTAAAGTCAACTTCCATATATCTTTAAGTGGTTACATTCAAGCTAATGTGAAAAGGTAAATCTATTTAGATTTTTACTTGTAGATGACTGATAAGGAAAAATGTCCTTGAAAAAAGAGGGCAAGAGAATCACAGAGTTTTAATAGTTACTCCCTATTAAAAATTTTTATGAACAGAGATCCCAAAGAAACCTGAAAATGGAATGGACTGTGTGCCAGGAAGTGGTGGGATCTCCTTCAGTGGAACTGTTTCAGGCGAAGACACACTAATCCTTTATCACTGAAGTAGTGCAGACTGTTCAGGCATCTGGACGGAGCAGCTTATTTATGTGCTGTAGGAGCCACAGGTCCTAATTCTGGAATTCAGAGATATCTATTTTGCAGGATTAAAAGCACATGTACCTATATAGAATTACAAATACACTAGAAGGTAAGCATACACACATATTACATGTACCTGTGTGAATATGAGGTATGAAAACCTAGAAAATAAAATGTGCACGGTAAATGTATGTTACTCATATGAACATACATATACATGAATATTACAAGTACTCTTAATTCTTTAGGTGTTCAAAACCGGGACAGTCTGAATTCTCAAAGTTAGAAGAAGACAGTTTGAATCTGGAGACATACCATATAATAATGACAAATCCTAAGAAATCAAAATTATTAGAAGATTTGTTAGCTTGCCATAATTTTCCATTAACTATTTTAAGGAAGAAAATTAATATAATAAATTTAAGTTAAGCTGCCTCCAATTTGATGTAATCTTAATTCTAAGTGGTACTTAGCAGCAGCTATAAATGAAATGACTATTTTAAAGCTGTGAGTAGAAAATTACATAGCCTTTTCAAGAAAGTGCTTTCGAAAATTGAACTTTGTGAGTCATTGTTTCTATGATTACTCATAAAGTGATCAACTGCACTGTTTATGTTTATAAAACCACAAGTGTGATAGTTGGTTGAAATACAAAATACAGCAGGCAACCATCAAAAAGGAGATCAAGATATACTTAGCACTCTTAATTTAAAAGCAGGAACAAATCTCATAAAAGTTTTTCCTTGGGTTTATAGGCTTGGCCACCCATTAAGCTCCTGCTTCCTCCCCCCAGAGTTATAATAGAAAGTGTAATGGAAATGAGGTAATGGACTTCTTAAGTTCTTAAGGGTTTTCCAGGTAACATTACTCATTGATGAAAATGTAAAGACATTCATCAGAGTTAGGTATCTTACTGAGTAAGTTGATGGATAGACTACCTGGAATAATGTGAGGTGCTACATTTGAATCCTGGTAGCCAACCAGATGTACAAAATTGGCCAGGGAATCTGGCTAGGGAGGACTGAATGTGACTTAATTGCATTAACTGACTGAAATCTCATTGTATCCATCAAAGGGAAAGTGTTACGACCTGTGGATATATTCCTAGCAAGTGGGAGAGGCCGACCTGGATTAAATGAAATGATTCTGAATAGGTTTAAATCGGACTATTGTGGGCACCTTACAAAAGGGATGGATAGGTTGGGTTTTGGGTTAAAAAGAAGACATGGTGTCATCAGTTTAGCCCCTTCATCCACGTAGACAGTCTGGAGGAACTGGATTCCCTGACAACTTGGAAATTCTGTACTGTGACCTTGGCTCTTTCCCTATGGGCAGATGTAAGTGCAGCTATTGTGAGATAGATGGAGGTTTGATTTAATGAACTTTCAAATTTTAGAGACGTGATATTCCAAGTTGAGTTCTCTTGCAGTATAAGTTTTAAACTGAAGGAGCTGGAGAGGGGATTTAAGTATGCATGGTTCTAAGATGACTAGTTTTGGATGGTAAGATTTGATGACTTTATTATAAAAATTAGTTTCATAATCATCACTTTAATCCTTAAATTGGTATATTACCTAAACTAATGGGTGGTTAATTCTGTTTATAAAAGCCAATATGGAGTGTTAAGTTTATGAGAATGAATTGAATAAACTCATTTGTTCATCCACTCACTAAGTATTTATTGCACTTCTATTCTGTGTCATTCACTATGACAGGCACAGGATATTAAAAGATGTGTAAGATAGAGCTCTCAGGGAGCTCATTTTGGTGAAGAATTCTTCCTTAAGGCTAGCATTTTTTTTTTCCCCAATGAAAGTTAGACCTGTTTTTTTTTTCTTGAAGACTGTTTTAGTTTTTCTTTTTAAATTGCTTTTACTATGCTAAATAATTCCAATTCTATTTCATACACTGTTAGTGTATTTAAAGCTTAATTTTGTTTTTCCATCCTTTATCTACTACAGTTTTATTCTCATTTAGTTATTTATTCAATAACTTAGCAGATATTCATTCATACCAATTTTTTGTGAGATATAAATTCTGGACTCTGAGGATTGAGGGAACCAGAGAGTTATGTTTTAGTAAGGGTAGGCAGACAATAAGGCATTCTACAAATGTTAAAGAAAGGAATTAGAAAATATGGAGGAAAAAATCAAGAATAAAAACTTGACTGTTGTCTTTTGGATGTTTAATTTCCAGCTGTGTTGTCGTTTGGTTATATCTACTTTGGTGTCTTTCTGGTGCCTTGCCCCGGCCTAATATGGAACAAATATGTCCCAATGGTAATGGATGGGATTGATGTGATGTCCAGATTCTCAACAGAGGGAAGAGCTTGACATACCTAAAAAGTTTGCTAATTTATTATATTTTCTCCCACAGGTTTGGCCATTTAATGAGGTTCACAGCATACGGTAGCTTTGCCTACATAAAATCAGAGCTTTTCACTTAAAAAATAAATAGTCCTCTTTGGCCTGGTCAATTGTTTTCTCAAGATTTAAATCTTGAACATTTGTAACCATGAAAACTTTGAGATGTGGGAGATTTCCCAAAACTGTATGTAAAGATTTAAGCTAGATGAATAGAATGGAGGTTTCATCTTCTCATCAAGGACATTTTGAATTAAACAATAAAATTGAAATTATGAATCTAAACTGAAGCACTAAAATGAGACCCTTGTGTATATTACCTTGGTGTGGAGATACAGACAGCTTAACTTTTGGAGGCAGTTCAGTCTATGAAATCCTAACAAAACACTCAAGATTAACAGGTAACAATTTTCTATGCCACCAAAAGGAGCGAATAATTTTTGTATGTGTTTTAAGGTCGCCTATAAACAGAAACACGATGCTACCAAAGGACTCTCGGATTATGCCCGCATGAAGGAGCCACCTGTGGTCAAACACGCCATGGAAGTCACTAAACACCAAAGTAATGTAAGAAAGCTTATTCTTCACAATTTTCTGGAAAATTATAGTTAATACATCTTCAGACTTTTGATTACTGAAATTTAAATGTGACTCAGTTCCAAACCAACTTTAGATTTTATCAGTGCAAAGAGCATCTGAATTATTCTGATAATAGTCATTGGAAACCTTCAATTATCAGCTATTGAAAATTTTGTTTTACAGAAGATATATTTGGATTCTTTGACCTGTCAAGTTATTAGTGTTTGCAGAGCTTCTTCAGCTTGATGCTAAGGCTCAGGGTCCCTAGCCTGGAAAATCAGAAAAAGCAGAAATCAGTGATTCAAAAGGCAGTTCAAATACAAGCTAGACTCAACAGATGTGAAATATAAATGCATCAGATGCCTAATAGCTGAGTTAGAAGCAAAAAACCAAGAAGGAGGGGAGAAACTGTAGAACAAAAGTTCCTTTTTGGTTACAAGTTCCCTGCCCCAGCGAGGCTTCCAGGGCACCTGCTCAATTACCACCACTGTCCTGTTGGTCTAGAATAATTTCTTCCTTGAGTTATAGTGGAAGCTTGTCTACCTCCTCTGAAAGAATCCTCTAAGAGCTTTCCAAAAGAAATGTGGGAACTCTTGGTGAAGTTCTTAATGGGCTACAACCAGTTCAAAATGCCTGTCCCAGCTGGGTCAACAAACTCCCGTTTTAGAAGAGTCTGTGTTGTATCTTTTTCATCCGCACAGAATCTTTTCCCTTCCTTAGTCCTCCTACTGAAGGTGCTATGCCGACTCGGAGCCTTCAAGGCCCATTTACTGTAGCATCTTTCTGCAGGTTGACAACAGTTATTTGGTATTAAGTTGCAGTAGGTTGATGTTTAAGTAAAAAAGAGAGTGAGGCTTGACATTCTAACCCAAATGTATACATCTGCCCATATTAAAACACTTCTCTGGGATGATTTAAGACTGACAGGAGTTGAAGAAGCTATGCATCTGCAATTATCAGACAGGGTCATTATGGTAAGGGGAGGCTTTGTAAGAACTGTTTGCTTACAGAATTACTATAATAATCATAATAACCACCACTTACCCAGCTCAGTCATGTACCAGGCATTGTGCCAAGACTTTGATCATTCGTAGTGCTCAGAAAAACCCTGCACAAATTCCCATTTTGTAGATGAAGAAAGTAAGGCTAAGGAATCAAACTCCTGGGTTCACACTTTCTGTTGTGTATCACTAACTCCTTCCTAAAGGTCGCTGGCAATTAATCAAGATTTTAAATACATTTTTAAAAGGGAAGAAAGAGCATTCAAAGTTGTCATCAGAGTTCAAATGTACGACAGGAAAGAGAAATGGAGACACCCTGAGTTCCCATTCTTTTGATGCAGAAGAGAATTTGAATTCATAGAAAAGGCCTGAGGGTGAGGAGGGGGGCTGGGGCTGGGGATGGTATCACACAGATCCCTGGGTGGCCCTTTCTAACTCTATCAGTCAATGAAATTCAAATACGGAAGTTCTTTATAGAACTGGGCTTATTATTTTAACTCTGCCTTGTCTTTTAAAAGGTCTTTGATTGAGGGATTGAGGGAATAGAGTATAAAGCCCTTTTCTCCTCCATTCAACACTGTGTACTTACGGGGGAAGACGTGTTTACTTACACCCCTCTGCCACCCGCTCAACCTTTACATGCAGAGTTTGTACGTATAATAGTATTTAGAAAGTGTTTAAAACTATTTACTCAGATTTAAAGTGAGAATGATATTTGTATTCTACCTGTGAAGTAGCTGATATTCCTCCAGAGCCAAACCACTTAGAATAATACAGTCATTGTCCCTACAGTATGAAATTTAAGTACAGATTTTGAAAGCTGCAAGGAAAGCTACTATGGACTTTCTTGGTTCAGTTGGTCAATCTACAAGAGTTCTTACAAAAAGCAGACAAAAGCCCATCTATCATAAAACTTTAGTCCAGTGAAATTCAGGGCGGAGACTTTATTAGTGGAATTATTGTTTTGTAATATGGAATATCTCTTTTCATTTAGCTATAAATGGCTTCAAGTTAAAATGTGCCATGATATGTGAATTTGATTAACCTAGAAACAATAAAAGTCAACATCGTTGCTTTTTATCTCTTCTTCCTTTCCTCCCTCTCCTTTTTTTCCTCCTTCCCTCCCTCCTTCTTTTGACTCCTTCCTTCCTTCTTTCCTTCTCTTTTTATGTAGATTGAATCCAAGGCCTTCACAATGAGCCACATTCCAGACCTTTTTTCTTTTTTCCTTTCTTATTTTGGAACAGGGTTTCACTAAGTCAAAACTCCAGCTGGAGTGGAACTCACAACCTCCTGCCTCAGCCTCCCAGAGTTACTTCTTATCTTTTTTATGTGTCCAACACATCAAGTCAGCTTTCAAAGATCTTTGAAACCAAGAAATTAGGACAGCTGTTGTTCAGAGCTTTTATTATTTTTTCCATCTTCTTGGTCAGATCTGTAAAATGGTCATGAGGGAGCCAGTGGTTTTTCATTCATATTCTTTCTCTCCTTTGTACCTTTAAGAATGTAAATACGCAGAACAGGATGGGAAAGAGGATTGATTGTAACTGTACCGCTGAATTCTCACCTCTGAACAACTGAGAGTTGACATGTGAAGAATGGCCTGGAGGGAGTAGTCTCTTGTGACACCCTAAAACTCAGTGATCACAGAAAAGAATATGTTTCTCAGAATGTCTTTCAGTGCAGTGTGTATTTTAAGCATGGCTAAGTGCTTACTTTGTGAAATTATGCAAGTTAATATTTCAGAATGTCAGTTTTCTCACCTATGAAACAGGGACAATAGTATTTACCTCTCCTAGGTTTCCTCACATAGTAAATGAATAATACATGCAAAGGGCTCCATCGAAGAGCTGCTTCATAGAATGCTGGGCTTGCTTGGTTGTCCTCCAGTTTTTATAAGGTGATCTGAGAGTTAAGGGTGATATCATAGTTAATTTAAAACATTTAAAAGAAATTTATAGGCGGGCCAAATCAATGTGAAATTAGTATTATGAAACATATAGGTCAGAAGGGCAGTTGGGGGCTATTTTGTTGATACTATCATCACAAAATGATTAAACACAGCCAAACTAAGCCCTTCTATATCTTAAGGGACGCACCTTTGCCAAAATTTTCTAATGTAATTAGAGAAATTGGAAGTATTGTCCTGTGCCTTTCCCCGAAGATGGGCTTATAATGAAAACTTCAGTTACATTATTAGTTCTAATCAGTCTTATCAGAGACATGGAGTCCAATAGTTTTGAAGTAAGTCCAACAAATCTTAAACTTTCATCTTGAGTTTTATAAGTCATGTGTCCATACAGACTTGTGATGAAATTGGAATGATAAGACTTTTCCTGAACTCCAGATTGGTAATCAATTCAATGTGTATTAAAAAGAAATACTCAGCATGGGAAACAATAGACTTAATGTTCTTTTCAAGAATGATATATATACTGTCTTAAAAATTAATAAAAACTTATCAGTAGACAAATTTCTGTTCCATTAGAAAGTGAAAAAGCTTAAAAGACAAATCAGTGCAATAATACTGGAAAAACGATCTGGCTCTGTGCTGCTTCCCAGTGTGAGGTACAACAATAGTGCTTTAGGATTTAGTATTAAAAACATATTAATGATTTGTTCATTGTGCAGCCCTCTTCACAAGATAGTGGTGGTAATAAATTTAAATTATAAGCAAGAAAACTTTTGTGAACTATAAAATGAAGTATTATCAATAATGATAACTTGTCCTAGTCATACTACCATATTTTCCTTTATCTCTTAGAAGATTGAAAGTTTTTCTGCATGCTGAATATAGAAAATAATGTTCAAATTAAGATAATTAAATTATTGCTCTATGGTAGAACATTTGTTTACCACGAGGTTCTGGGTTGCATCCTCATCACTTCCAAATAAAGGAGATGTGATTCCCAATCCTTATCACCATTTAGTGACCCCTTTTTTTTGAGAATGGTTGAACTTGGGCTTCAAGCTGTTATACTGTTTGCTTCTGTTCCCCAAATATAATATGTGATATATCCTATCTAGTTTTTTCTTCTCACTAAGAATCATTTCAAAATTCACCAGAGTAACAAAGGGATCAGTTGTGGGCTGGCATCTTGGTTTCCTCTAGGCTCCACCTGTCATGCTGTGCATGGTTGACAGGCGGTCTTGGTAGCTTTCTTGGAGGCTGCCACTCCTCACCCTCCAGTCTTCTTGCCTCCAAGTGATCGTCTTTTACTTCCCATCTGGTGGAGGCCTTGCTTCTCTCTATTTTATTAACTCCTCTACCACAGAGTCTCAAATCACCATGATGTACATATAAAAAGCTTACTAGCCGATCAGCATGAGTCCTCTGACAGAGCACTTAGAAAGTAAAGGCATTTGTGTCTACTTTTAAAATCTCATAGGAGTTCCTTTTAACGGCCAAGTTTAATTCATAATGATCTAAGGAAGGGCATGCCAGAGAGTGCAGCTGTAGCCTTGGAAACGAGTATTATGGAACCTGGTGGTTGTACACAGACCACCCAGGACAATGGGGTAGGGTGAGGAGTTCTTGAATTCATGCACTTTAAGGATGTGGTGCCTGGCACATTGAACAGGCTGTGTGAATGAAGAAAATGTGCAAAATCACAGCTCTTATGAAATGGAGGTAGAAAGAATATAAGAAGAGAACAAGACCAGTTTAAGAGAACAATAAAAAATAGAAGCCAAAGGCAGAGGTGAATATGATGAGATAAAGAAGGAATTTAAAGATAGACTTTGATGGACTATAATTCTTTATTAGAAGTAGTAACAAATTCGACACCACAGGAAAACATGAAATATGGAGCTTTGTAGAGTTAGGGTCAGGAATCCATCCCAAGTGAGCTCAAGTTAAAAAGGAAAGTTGATTGTTTGTATACAGTTCCCCTTTAGTGTCTATGGGAGCTTGGTACCAGGACCTCTGTGGATACCAAAAATCTGTAGATGCCTAAGACTTTTATTTAAAAAGGTACAGCGTTTGCATGTAATCTCTGCATATTCTCCCATATATTTAAAAATCATCTCTAGATTGTTTATATCTAAGTGCTGTGTAAATAGCTGGTATGCTGTATTATTTAGGGCATAATGACAAAGTATTTATACATGTTCAGTACACATATTTTCACTACATTTGGTTGAATTCTAGATGCAGAACCCATGGATAGGAAGGGCCAACTGTACTTAGAAAATTCCAGTTCCCTTCAGGCATCCCTGGATCTGGAGACCTCATGTAGCAACAAGCAGTCCTCTTCTGTCTTGTATCTTGGCTCTGATTGCTTCTGTACGATGTCACTTTTAGGCAGACTTTGTCTAAAAGGACTCAAGCTGTTGCTTCCAAACTTAAATTTTCTTCTAGTAACTGATCTTAGAAGAAAGAGGAGCAGTACTAGGAAAAAATTAATGCACGTGTTTCACAAAGGAATGAGTTAGGGAAAAATGGGAAAGGGCAAAGAAATCCAGTGGGGAAAAAAGGGCAAAAACCAGACATCAAATATTTCAATAACAACTGTAGGTAATTTTAGATATTCCAGAAAGAATCACTATTTGCAGGTAAGATTGTATGCCTTCACCTACTGTTAAAAAGATAAAGCTTATCATCATTACACTGGGTACAAGATAAATGTATAATAACTACTTTTTTCCATGGTCCTGGGGATTGAACTCAAGGTCCTCACATGAATTATAGCCATAGCCCTTTTTAATTTTGAGACAAGATCTTGCTAAGTTGCTCAATTGCCCAAACTGGGCTTGGTCTTGAGATACTCCTGTCTCAGCCTTCCGGAGTGTTAGGATTACAGGTGTGCACTACCTGACCTGGCTGATAACTACCGTTTTTATTGAAAGATGCAGATTTAGAGAAAAGGAATGTGTTGTCTTCTCCCAAGAAGAGACTTAAAACAATCCCAATATACCATTTTCTCCCTTAATCATTTTATAGAAGTAATGCGATACCTATGTACTTTACATTTGTTTCTGCTGTGGAATTTGCTAAACTCCTTCTGATGTTCACAACCAAGACTAAATGGTTAAAATGAGAAAAAATTTGAAATAGAAGAGTAATATAGGAATTTGGTCATAGCTGCTATAGTCATTGAAAAAGAATGTCATTCAGAGTGAATTATATTTAATGTGGCACATGGTAGTTCTAAATGGAGACTATTTAAAACTATTATTACTGTAGTTTCTTTTCCTGCTCCCTTCCTCTTTCTGATTTCCTCCTTTTCCTCCCTTCTTCTTTCCCTCTCCTCCTCCATTCTCACCTGTGCCTGAGGACAGAGCAGGGAATAAAGCATCACAGAAGATGATGCATTACCAACTCCTGGCCGTCAAGTTGGCGCCCATTCTGTGTTGAAGCTCTTCTTTTCTCCCTCCTTAGTTGCATCAGCATTCTGTAGATCCCATATTGTCATAAGAAGACTGAAGAATATAGAGACCAGTTCACTGTTCCAGTATGGTTAGGACTGGGTCTTGGATTGGTTGGGAAAACTCTCTCTGTCTCTGTCTCTCTTTCTCTCCCTCCCTTCCTTCTCTCCTCCTCCTTTTCCCTCCCCCTCCCCCTGTGCTCTGTTCTGCAACATAACATTCTGATTCTTCCTGTGCTCCCAATGCCATGGACAAACACAGGTTGCAGACTTTTGAGGAAGGTCGGTTGAGTTCCCTTAAACCTAACAAGGGTATAGGAAGTTAGTGCACGGAGGCAAGCACTCTACTGAGGATGCCATGTTGCTGTCCCTGTATGTGGAGACACCCTTGTGGAGTGTGAAGTCAGGACTCGCCCTCTGGCCTGTTCTTCCTCATCCCGCACAGTGGCATTGCAGAAGAGCTCACTGGCGATTGGCTCCTGTGCTTTTCTCCTGTGCAGCTCTGTGGCGTCCTCTTGTTTGAATACGCAGCTCGTGTCAATCTTAATATTTGTTTTGAGTTGCATATGCTGGCCTCTAATTTGCAATTTACATGGATGATGGGGCCCTATTCAAAGTCCTGCTCCTGCAGCCTTTGTGCCGTTCACCTCCCTTCACGCAGTCATTAGGCTGAACAGCATATAATTAGATAACCCGTGTAAAGCGGAGATTTCTGAAAGGTTGCAGTTCTTTTCAAAAAGTAAAGATTTCCCTTTTTTCTCTCATTCTTTTCTAAATAAAAAGAAACATCCTCCCCACCCAGTGGTTTTCAAATGAATGCAGTGAGTTAGACACAGTCTTGGAGAAGGACAATAATTTCAGTTTGTTTTCACCTGAGAGATGGTTTTTGTTTACATGGTTTGTGTTTAACTCGGTGTCCACTGAGATCAAGTTGCCATCACTTTAAATCCCTAAAGACTTAAAATTCACCAACAAAATACTTCACTTTCCAGATTATTTTTATGTTTCTTTTCTACCTGTGTGCACAAACTCATCTAAACTACTTGTTAAGGCAAAGCCTGTGAAAATATAAATACTGATGAAAATAGATGTTTCGTGCTGAAATTGTACTAATTGCATTTAAACTGTGTTCAACTATCAGGCAGTTTCATGATTATAAGCGTGGCTTAAAGATTGTTGGTGAGAAGGCAGATGCAAGTTTATAAAAGAGTAAACCAAGTGTGTATTAATGTTTCGTTGACACAAAATAATACACAGGAAACCTGTTGGAGTTTAATGTTTTACCATTTCTTAACAGCTGATAACTATTTTGAAAGAAGTAAGAAAGTGCCAACTTTTTAAAAAAGCTCTTCCAGGCTAAAAGGAAAATAAATAAATATTACCTAGAACACTGGTTTGTAGTGATCAAATAGAGGATTAAAATCAGCTTCTTAGCTTGATGTGGGGCACATGTCTATAATGCTAGCTGCACAGGGTCTGAGGCAAGAAGATCATGAGTTCAAGGCCAGCTTGGGCAACACAATAAGCTGGTGTCTCAAAGAAATCACTTTGAAAAAGAAGCAGGAAAGTAACTTAATGGTAAATTGCCTCTGAATACAATCTCCAGTATTGGAGAAAAATCAGATTCCTGGCCTCATATACTGAAATTCTGTTCCAGAGTAGTATGGATGGAGCTTAGGAATCTAAATTTTTAATAAGCAGTGCAAAGGGTGCTATTACAGAAAGTTTATAGGTGACATTGGAAAGATTGTTTGTGCAAAATGTAATTGCATACTTTGTACAGATGTCCAGTGGTTCATATTTCTATGTTCTACCTATGTCTGAAAAAATGAAGATAGGTTTTTAAAATGGTCATTCCTGTCCATTTATCTTGCATTATAACTTTAACAGAATATATTATTATAGGGAAGTCAGCCAGCCTCTGATGATATTGCTGGATAGAATTATATTTAGCAATCACTGGTTTAGCTCAGGACAGATTTCAAGAACTAGAGAAGTGAACAGATGGGTCAGCTGTCGTCCATCAGACATTCTATCAATTTAATTCTGGTTTTTCCTCCCACTTGTCACTCAAGCTAATGTAAACAAACAACGTTAGCTAAAAGACTTTCCATTTGGCAAAATGTGTATATTTTTCTCTTTAAAGCACTACTCTCTATCCTTTGGCTTGGTTGTATCTAACATGCATTCAGAGAAGGGACATTCCTTAATGTAACTGCTTTTATTTTAGAAGGCCAAGTCATGGAAGTCATATGCATTTGAGAGTAAAACTACTGATATCCATGATTTGGTCTTCTAGGCATAAACTTTTTGTGAAGTGTCCAGTTGGGAAAGGGATGAAAGGGTGTAGCTGAGAAAGTTGCAGAGCTTCCACTGCTTCCCCTCCCTAAAAGAAGTGACCTGCAGTATTTGTGAGCTGGGCTTAATCTGCATCCACTGGGGTTGCAAATGTGGGCAGGGGAAACCGAAGTGCTTGATTAGGATTTCCTACACATGAATAGAAGCATATCCAATTAGAAACAAACACATGCTAATAGAGAGGTGTATACAACATCCTTTATTCTTCATTTTTGTATTTCTTCCTTTTGTGCTTCATTCTTGCATTTCTTAGGTAGTATAAATTCATTTCAAAGACATTAATGTTAGTGAGCTATAGATATAGTAAAAAGTTAATATATCAAAACAAATGTTGTATGTCAAAATGTAATAAAGCAACTTAAGGTCAGTAGGGCTCTCTAAGCTTATATGACAAAGAGAAATAATGTTACAGATATGAAGGTTAGCAGCTACATGAAATTATTCATTTTTCTTCAATCTAAACTGTCTCTTTGATCAGATTTCTTATAGGAAAGATGCGCAGGACACCCACATGTACACTGCAGAGCTCGACAGGCCGGATATCAAGAAGGCAACGCAGATCTCCAAGATCATAAGCAATGTAATTTGTCTTTCTTAATCTGGTACAGAAATGATGTCCTTCATTTTTGTAAGAGACAAGACACACAGCTTTGGTGGTCGGGTTGTTAGTAAAATTCGTCCATCTGAATGCATGACATCTTTGATTTTCCCTAAAGTATCCATTTGATTATGTGAATTCTGTGGGTACATGCAGAAATGACCCAAGCTTCATGTGACTATGGCTAGTGGCATACTTTTAGAAAAATTAATTACTACTTAGATATAAAATCATATTCAGATGTCTTGGCCTGGAGGCCAAATTGGTGAGTCTTCTGGGCCATGTAATTTCTCACTTCATTCAATCCAAAGAACTTTGCTTGGGCTTGTTCCCATCTTGTTGCTATTAATTGCGCAGATTCTACTCCACCAACACTCACCTTTGTACGTTTCCTGCATGCCATGGCTGTTTTTAATCTCTCCTAACTTTCTTTCTTATTAGTGCCATTTTACTTAAACATACCCAAAATCCTGGTAAAATGATTTTACTTAAACTAAATATTGGAATAATACAGAATATATATGTACTTTAAAAATTAATAATGACTAAACTCAACTGCATGTTAATCAAAATGATCAGATCAGTTCTTGAGAACAAATAGAACTGTAAGTGGTATCTATATGAAGCATACACGGTTCAATTATTGGGAAATTTCCCCTAGTATCTGTTTTTTTCAGTATCTGTAAGTAAATATGGAGATGAAAATGACTCGATACTTAAGGCTCAACTTTAGCTATTATTTTACTATGAAAAGTCAAGTTTATTTAAATAGCTACAATATCAAACAAGTTTCTGTTTTAGCAGTCATTATTTGATTTGTTATAAGGAATATTTCTAATGGGATAAGAGTGTTTTATTTTGACTAATATTACTGTAATTCTTCATTGGAAAGTAGGATTATTTAATACTTTCTTTTTATTCATTGTAGGCAGAATACAAGAAAGGGCAAGGAATAATGAATAAAGAGCCTGCTGTAATTGGAAGACCAGATTTTGAACATGCCGTGGAAGCTTCTAAACTTTCTAGTCAAGTAAGACTCTAGAGTGATAATTCCACAAGGACTGTATTCAGAGATTCTGTTTCTAGGAACACAGAAAAATATTTCATTTTAGATAATATCTTTACTTGCAAGAATAAACAGAGATAATGTTTCTGAAGCCATTGCAGATAGGATTGCAATAATTACAAATTTCAGTAAAGGAAAAATCAGTCTAATTTTCAGCATAGAACAAAGTTTTCCTTTCTCTAGGCTCATTCCTGGACGTGTTTCAGTGAGTTTGGTCATGATGTCACATTTCAGGGAATTTCCAGAAGTCAATAACAGTCATACCAAATAATTATATCCCTATTTATATGTATGCAAAGTAGATACATATAATTTTAAATTTAGTAATAAAAGTAGTTTGTCAGTTTTCACTTATTTTGATAAGAAAATAAAACAGATGATAAAAATGAGGGCTTTGGAAATTTATTAAAAAGCATAAAATAAGATCTGAAAAGAGTGTAAGGACCCAAAATGTGTATAGGTTAAGGGTCTCAATAGATAAAAAAAATCAGTTTTCTATAGTTATCATATGAATGTTGTGCAGTTTCACTTACTATTCAGTAGGTTTTTTTAAAAGTTAGATTAAGTGATCTTATAGTTTGTATGGAAAGGAATCACTGAAGAAAAGCCTTTAAAAGTAAGCAAATGAAGATCAGTGATGGAGAACTTAAATTATGAGTTGCCAAAAGATAATCAAAAACCATTGAAATGAAATCCATGTGGGATTGGTGTAGTGAGAGGTAAAATAACCAGTGGGATAGAATCCATTCCAATATTTTAAAAATTTAATATAGGGGAAAAGTATTGACTCAATGGAAGAAAGTTATATTAGTTCATAAATGGTGCTGACATAACTGGTTATCCATCATGATAAAATAAAAATTGGGGTCCAGGTCTTGAACCATATGCAAAAGTGAATTCCAGGTGAATTAAAAATATGAATGCAAACAACCAAATAATTTTAAAATGTTGGAAACTCTCTATATATACCACTGAAAGGAAACATAGTTGGGCTTACATAAGACTGGAGAATGAGAAAACTTAAAAGAATACTTAGACACACACAGTGATCATACAAAAGTTAAAACCTGTTTCAGTGGAAAAGGTAACATTGTAGAGTCAACAAGTAATGTGATCAAATGGTACCTTTTACACATTTATAGTGTTTTCAGTTTTGAGATGATTCATTTGTCATATTGCAAAGGTCTTAAGTGAATTACATTGCAAAATATGAATGCTAAAAGATACAAAATCTGACTTGAAGAATAACAAGTCTTGAGTAAAGGAAGGGATATACTGTGCTCTTGGCTTGAGAGTCTTGATGTTTAATATTGTAAGAATGCTAATTCTTCTTAAATTTAAAAACTCCATGTAATTCTAATTAGAATCTAAACAGGCTTCTCAAAAATTAGAATAAAATGACATATTTGAATAAATTAAATTATAAGGTAATGTACAGAGAAAGGAAGGTTTGGGATTTATTTTTTTGGTATTGGGGATCAAACTTGAGACATTTTTTTAAAATACAAAAAAAAATAGTGGTCTTCAAATATTTGGAAAAGTATTTGTAAACATATGGTAAAACTACACACACAGACACACATATAGCTCATAAATTCTTCAAAGTATAAACAGAAAAGACAGCCCAGAAAAAAGTGGAAAATGAGATGAAATAGACATTTCACAAAAGAACAAGCATAAATGGCCACTAATATGTCAAAAAAGATGCTCACATTAATCAGCAGGAAAGGAAATGCCAGTGAAATGAGAGAGAAATGTCACTTGTACCCATCAGCATTCTGTCTCTTGTTAGCGTGGGAGAAAAGGGCACAGTATTAGGAAAGGTTTTGTGTAGGAGTAGCTCTGAGCTAGACTGTTTTAAAGAGAGAGAGCAAACTCTGCTCAAGGTAAAACCCCCATTAAAGGAGAATCTGGCAGTAGTGGTTCTAGGCAGAGGATATGGATTGTGAACGTAAATGGATTGGAGTGGAGTTTTTGTAAGAAATGGGTCAGTGCTGTATTGATTTTGACTGTGGTCATCACTTTAAAGACTAGGAACCAGCAGTATTCACTGTATTTTTGACCACATCTCATAAAGACCCTCATGAAAGAACACTTCCAGAACTGATTCAGAAAGTGGGAAGAGGGGCCCCTGAATTTAGCTCAGTGGTGTAAGCACCTGCCTGGCAAGTGTGAGGTAATCAGTTAAATCCCTGGAAAAAGCGACAAGCACAATGAGATAAATGTGCTCAAAGTGAGGGGGTGAATTTTCAAGAAGATTGACAGCAATGTATCTTTTACATGTTTAATCTTTAAGCATTCTCTGTAATCTGTGATTATACCTCATAGATATGTTAACTTTATTTTTTGCCATGGTATGATAGTAATAAAATTTACCATGTTAACCATTTAAAGTTTAGCAGTATTAAGCACATTTATAATGCTGTAGTCCCCTCACCATCATCTATCTGAAAGGCTCTTTTCATCCTATAAAAGTGAAACTCTGTCTCTATTACAGAATAATTCCCCAGATCCACTCTTTCTAGAATAATAAGCACTATGAAATAAATGGAAAAGGAGACATTGATTTCCAAGTGTTAATTATGGTGGACATTTAGAAGTTAAATTCCAAGAACAACTTATCATACTTTCACTGTAGTCTCTCAGCCTCTACTTGTAGGTAAAAAATAAGTAGTTACCTCACTGAAAATGATGAGTAAGGCAAAGTTGTGCAAGTGTTTCTGCTGCAGAGAGGTTAGTGTAGGAGCTCTGCAGAAAGTCTGGCCTTGCAAGAGACAGGAGTCACCAAGGCCTGCTGGCCTTGCTGTGAACAATCACAAGTGAAGTGATTGGCTCAAAAAGTCCCTCTGCCTGTGGGTATGAAAATGAAGCAGAGAGAAGGGATATACAGGAGAGGCAGAAATGAGAGATTCCTGAATGTCACTGTCTCTTACTAAGAGCGTTAGAGTTTAAAAGGCACTTTGGCCTATAAAACAAAATTGTGACTCAGGAGGATACTGATGGACGAGGTTGGGGCACATGGGATGAGCCAGGCTGCACGGTGATTCCAGGCTCTTTGCGTTCTAGGTAGTGATTGTAGAAGAGATGGGAAGCCTCAGCAGTCTATCCTAGCTCCCTGACTTCTCACCACGCCACGCTTTTCTGAAAGCGAAGGCTTCCCATCTGTTACAGAGCAGACTGTGGCCAAGCAGGCTGCTTTGCTTTAGAGGTTAAGGAAATGGGCTCTGGAGTGCGGTCACTTGGGTTAGGTGCTGTTGCTTGCTCACAGAGTGACCTGGACAAATTGATTAATTTCTGTCTTCAGCCTCCTCATCTGTAAATGGGGTTGACATCAATAGTATTTGCTTCTCGGTATTGCTGCTGTGAGTACTCAAAAGTGGAACCTGGCCCATAGATTGTGTGGCTTCATAGAAATCATTGCATTCTGAGGCCTCAGAGTGTTTTTTATTTTCCAGGTGAATTTACACACCGCAGGCTGAGCCTGTGGTCTTACCTTCATTCTTTACCCATCCTGTTTGAAAGCCCTTGGAAGAAAAATTGGACATTTGAGCTTTTACTTTCACTTTTCAAAGTTTCTCTGCAAACATCCTACTACTTGATCTCTGTTTGAGTTTTTAGGTAGATTTTCTTTTAATTTCCAATTGTAGCAACTGAGTGATCAGACACTTAGGCAGATTATAATTTTTGAGTTGCACTCTATTTGTAATCTTTATTTTTTCGCGAGACACTTATTCATCTTATGGTATAGAAACTCACCAGAAAAAGGGAATCTGGGTAGATGGATAAACAGAAGTACTGGAATGACCTCAGTATGTTTTATTTCCATTCTCAGGGCTCTTACCTTGAAATAAAAGCAAAAGGTACAGTTTCTTATTTTCACTGACATCTCTGAAGACCATGTGTTCTTTGGTTACCCAAATGAATGACAAAGGCACATGAATACATAGAAGGGGAAATGAATGAGGAATTCACTTATCCAGGAAGTAGGGCAGGGGCTGGGGAGCCAGGAAGCAGGAAGAAACGTGCAAAGTAGCACCAAAGGAATCCTGAGGGGCCAGCCCCTGACAAGGCGGTGGGCATGGTACCAGGTGATAAGATGCACTTGATGAAAGAACACTCAACCAGTGGGCAAGTTGGCTTGCATTTTACCTGTAAATTGAGCTCGGTGGGATTTTGCTTATAAAAGCTCATGGAAACACATACCAAAACCTTCTTCTGTTAGCTCTTACAATAGCTTAGCTCTCCTTGTTGTAAACTTTCTCTTTTTAAACTTGGAAGGCACATAAAATTACGGTCAAGGCGTTAAAAATAATCAGTAAAAAATAAGCCTAAAGTTTCAAGTGCTAAGAAAACAAGATTGGCTTGTGTGTACCCTGAAGTAATAACTGTTAAAGCCATCAATTTAAAACAACACTCAGAATGATTAATTTTTTAACATATTTATATATCATATGAATTCTTTACTTGAAATTTACATGAATGAATGAGTGAGTTCTTTGTTTAGTTTTATAACAGCAAAAAAGCTTATTTACAATATGGTAGTACCTCGGTTCATGAAAATTTTGTTTTTGTTTGTGAATTCTGCATTGGGTGACAAACATGATCATGGCCATCTTTTTCTCAGGAATGTGAATGTGGCTGTCTTTTCCAGAATCACAGGATGAATTAAGTTCACGAACTGAGGCATCACTGTATTTTATAATAATTAATATTGGTGATAGCAAACATTGCATTTGTTCTATCGATAAGAATGGGTTGTAAACTTAAAAATTACACCGTGGATTGCTGTAAAAATTTAGCAATACATATTGCCCTTAAATTGTAAAACGTGTTCATTGGTTTGGGGAATCTCCTATTCTCTCTTCCCAGCCCATACTCTGCCAACCTCCATATATATATATATATATATATATATATATATATATATATATATATATCACTTACCACTTGCAGGCTGCTGAGAGGGCTTCTCTATCTTTGATCTGCATTTTAAAATGGCACAGATTAGGCTGTCAAATATACAGAGCCCGATTAAGCAAATTCTTTCTGGGTTATTGACATTTGATGCATAGCCAGTTAAGGTGTTATTTTTGTAAAGAAAATGAGAGCAGAGATAGTATTTTCTTTAAAGTTCAGGCTTAAAAAATGATTGATTTGTATCATGGACTTCAGTAGAAATCTGTGGTATCTTTTTACTCATTTGTAGTTTAATTTCATTCAAAAATGGTGAGGATTTATACAGATAGATACATAAAGATTTTTTTTTTTTTTTAGTTTTCATTTTCAGGGGGTAATTAAGGTGCACTTAGTAAATTTCAATTTCCTGACCTTTGCTTCTGTGGCTATAGTTGAACAGGTCTTGTTCAGGGTCTATATTTTTTCATTTTTGCTGGCTCTTGGGGAATCGCCTTATAAGTGAGATCATGGAGAAGCTAGGTACCTCTCACAGTGTGAGCTGTAATGCGTTTTGAAATCATGCTTATGCCAAGGTAACCCTGGCTCTGTCCAGATGCAGTTATGAAGACCAGTTTAAATGAAATCATTGAAGCTTAGCAATCACAGCCTCTGAAAGTCTCGCTAAGATTAAAATTCTTTAGAAAACTTCTAGGAGTTTGATCCTATATATCCATCACATGTGTGTGTGTATATGTATATGTATAGATAGATATCAGACCACTAGGTACAGCATTCATGATGTAAATAAAGCCAGTGATATGTAGTAAAAGTAACGCCATTAGTTTCTAAAATAATTAATCTAGGTATAAGTAGTATTTTGCTTTAAAACCAGCACTTATCTTTTTTCATTGGATAAGGCCTTTTTTTCTTTTTGTCTTTTTCATTTTTATCAGTACCGGGGCTCGAACTCACGACCGTCTGCTTACAAGGCAGGTGCTTATGCCGCTGAGCTAAATCCCCAGCCCGCACTTATCTTTTTTCAATGAATCATAAAAGTGAAAGGGCTATGCCTCAGGGATCCAGTTACAGTCAAAGCAAAGCGTTGTTGGAATCTCTGGGTGATGAGTGTGGGTAAGGAGATAGGACTCAGCTGTGTAGCTATTGGTTAAAAATAGGACAGAGGTTCAGTGTGTTTGTGCCAATAGTGAGTGAACCAGTGAGAAAGGGAGAAATGTGACATGCTTAAACCCTTTGATCATTTATTAGTTCATGAATGCACAAACTTTATGGAAAGAGAAAAGCGAGAAACAGTTAATGTGTTTGTGTCTGGTCAATATATATTAAAAATAATGCAGTTATTTTACTTTGCAGTTAATTAATAAGAAAAGACTGTATCTTTTGAATCAAATCACTCAGACTGTTAGAGATTAGAATGAAATAAAATTTACCATGCTTTGTTTATTATTGCACTCAACATATCAGATGAGTGACAGATTGATTATTGTTTTTCAGACATACATTTTCTTGGAAGAGCAAATGCCGGGTTTAATAACTGATAAGCTACCATTTTCATTTCCAAATAATGCTACCCTAGAGATAGCCTGTGCTCCTAGTGTATTCATCCTGTGAACTCCTGGTTGCACAAAAACAGTGCAACAGCTCCTTGAACGCTGCTCACAGAATCTGTTCGTACCTTTTAGCTGATACGTACCAAGAAACTCATGATACATGAGGCTGGAGAAATGACAAACGCAGAGGAAACTCAGTGCAGGTCAGCATTTCATAGCTGGAGCAGATGGTGAGGTGTAAGCAGCTCCCAGCTGAGAGTAGTCAGTGGTTACTGGCTGGCAGGAGAGTTTGACTCAGAAAGGTGCTGCTGAATCTGGTGGTCAGGAAGCATTGTGTCAGTGGAAGCCAGTGGAAGAGTCACTACCTTTGCTGAACAAACGCCCCCTAGACATCAAACTCTAGGTGAGACAAAACCAGCCCTTAAATGTGGTGAGTAGCAGCATCACAGAGTGGTGGACTATGCATTGCAGAGAGGACTGGGCTGAAGAACCTTTGCTTCTGTGACAGCCACGAGAAGAGAAGGGGAGGGAGCCTGGCTTAGCAATCTGTGCTCTTATTCCTGATTTCAGGTTATAAAATCATTTTTTAGAGAGGCTTCTGTTATTGTCAAGTACAACTGCACAGAAAATATTTTCTGCAAGCTGCCTTGAAATATTTTTCAAATGCCCTGTTCCCACCCCGATTTTAACTGAGTCTCTCTCATCGGGATTAGACATGGGTCACCCAAAGAGGCCATCACAAGAGGCTTGATTGAAAAAGATGACATGAGCCACTCCCAAATTGCTGTTTACTAAAGATTTCTGCAAGGCAAGGTCTTAGTTATATTAATGCACATGCATTACAAGAATGACGCAAGAAAGCAAAAATATTATAAGAATTTTATTGTAAAAATAGTATAAAAGAATAAAACAGCTTACTTTTCATTTTTGAAATCTATATATTTTTTAACCACAAATCAAAGTGGTAGGAGATGTAAGTTAAGTTCATTTTTTATTGGTAAAAACCTTGTGTCTATATTCTAATTAATTATAGCACATATTCACATGTTTCTTTACCAGTGGAGACAGGTTCAGTTCTATAAGGTAAGTGAGTAGTCCTTTTTGTTCTTATATGTCTATTTAAAAAATAAAAATAATTTAGAGCAAATATGAGTGATGGTTTTCCTGCTGAATAAATTATGGAGTTAAAATGGAGAAATTTAAAAATGAAGTAGATCTTTTGTAAATGGGGAGGTAAGTGGAGGGCTCCCCAAAAAGAATCGAGATGTGCTATGTACATGTACAAATCCATCGTGATGAATGTGATGATTATGTGCTGCAAAGATGTACTAATAAAATAAATACATTTAAAAAGCCCCCTCCCCCCAAAAGAAAAAAACAAATACATAGTAGACCTAGGATATTTCAGAAACGTATTTCCTAAAAGTGAATTTTCCAACAAATGAGCTATAGGAAATGATGAGAAAAACCACAGTACACACTTAACGCTTTATTTGGAGTAATTTCCTTAGGTAAATTCATATTCAAATTCTAGGACCAAGAATCCATTGTGCAAACACGATAGACTGTAAGAGATTTGTGCTCCGGAGTTCTGTTTGATCTAGATTGCAGAAGTGCAGAAATAGAAGCTGGCTTTTAAAATTTTTGATATTTTGATAGTGCTCATGAGTAGCATTTGAGTGCATGACTAACTGCATTTATGGTCAATCTTCAGGTGGCTCATTTAAAACAAAATTGTGCCTAATTAAGCTTTATGAAGGGTCATGGAAACTGGGAACTTAAATTGTGTTGCCATTCAATTTTAAGGTAGCTTTCCATTTGATCTCTTTAAAAATCAAATGTGTTCCTTTTCATTTTAAATGTGTTATTTAATATAACCTATTTTTTGGGTGATAGGTTAAATATAAAGAAAAATTTGAAAATGAAATGAAGGATAAGAAACATCATTACAATCCCCTTGAAAGTGCTTCTTTTAGGCAACACCAGCTTGCGGCCACACTGGCAAGTAATGTAAGTTGTAATTCACAGAAAATTACTTTCAGTATCTTTTGATTCTTGTTTCCTCAGAACTGTGTTGTAATTACCGATACTTAATCAAGATCATGTAATTTCCAACTAATTTGTAGTTGAAAACACTAAAGCATATTCTCCTGAAGCTTTTTTAGAAAAAATATATTATTATAATTTACTATTAATGACTACTGATTACTAATTAGGTAATAAGTACGAATAGTAATGCAAATAAAATTATTATGCCTGAATAACAGTAGAAATAGATTATAGAGTTTTGCAGAAAAGCAGTGTTATCACAAATTAGTAGTTAAGACAATAATTAACTCACAATTAGGCCCATGACATTGGGTTCATTATAAAGTACTACCTGGTACATGGTAGTTTATCATAAAGAAATTTTTAGAAATTATACCATTAATGACATATAATTTCTTTTGTATCTCCTGTGTAAAGACTGTTAAATACTTCATTGTAAGATTTATTTTTTATTTCATGTTTTAGAAAATAATCAGGATTCATTTGATAAGAAATAATGTCCTAAATTCTTACTAGAAGTAAGCAGAATATAAAACAGAAACATTGAAAAAATTGATTGCTTTGCTGTAGTTGAAATTGTTCAGAGAACCTTCTCAAGTATGAAAATTAAATATTATCCAACTGTTGCCCTGTTAGATCATTTAGACCTTTCAGTTCCCATCATCTCATTGGGAATTAGTTTATTTTGCTTTCATTAATGCTTGAAAGGTATCGTTTGTGCTCAGTAACCAACTTTTACTTATTTCCAGCAATTGAAATGAGTTTTTGTGTCTTAGGACTCATGAGAATATCAGAATGATTTTTATTTGATTTTTTTGGTTTATGAATATACAAATGTAAAGGAACTAGAAATGAAATTTACATAAAGGAACCTTGAGTCTAGTGCTGAAAACTCAAGGTTTAGGGTCAGATTGCCTCAATTTAAATCCTGTTCCATTGCTCTGTATTATACCTTCATCTCTCTGTGTCTCAGTTTCTATTTGGTAACATAGAGGTGCTTAAAGTACCTACCTACTGGGTTGTTGTTGTGGGGATTAAATACTTCACATTTGTGGAAATGTCTCTGGCATATAGTAAGTGTTTAACGTGCAGTAATAGCAATATTATTAATATTTTATAACTTTATTATTAGTGTGATATTTCCAGAGCAGTTGGCAAAAACAAAACTCCCATCAAAGCAGCTCTGTATGGCAACAGGAGGAAAGAAACCAAAGGGCTAAATCACCAGAAAGCAAAATTGAAATAATACAGTCATGTCTGAAGAATAAAATGGTTCTTCTCCCTCTTTTGTCTTTTCTTTTTTATCTTTTGTGGTACTGGGGAATTGAACTTAGAGATTTTGCACTAAGCTACATCGCCAGCTCTTTTTTTAAAAAAATGAAAATTTTGAGGCAGGATCTCATTAAGTCACTAAATTTTTCAGGCTGGGCTCAAAGTTATGATCCTCCTGCCTCAGCCTCCCAGAATGCTAGGTTTACAGGCATGCACCATCACACTTGGCATCTCTTTATTTCTTGAAAGCAAGTTCCTGTATAATTACCTGATTCTGTTGATATCCTCTTTTCTGAATATGAAAACAATAAAAGGAATTAAAATATTTCAAGTCCTTAGAAAGGAAACTTTTAGTCATTCAGTAGTGAATCAGCACCATCTAGTGGTTGCTTATCAATCCATTTGTCAATTGACCCCTAAATGGTAATACTATTTTTATATCGTGTTAAAAGTAATAATGGCAGTAATGTGAAAGCATATTTTCTTCTCTTAGATGGTATTTTGTCCCATGTTATTTTCATAGGTGAGTTACAAGAAAGACATTGAAAATATGCACGACCCGGTTTCAGATCTCCCAAATTGGTTGTTTTTAGACCATGCCCTGAAAGCCAGCAAAATGCTCAGTGGAGTAAGTGGGTTGTTGATAGCAACTGTCTTGTGTCGTGTAGCCCTGAGACGCCGGGCTGCCTGCTGTGTTCATGAGCTCATCTGCTTCCTTGGTTGTCCTTGGCTGCACCCTCCGTGACTAACTCATTGAAAAGTAGTGAATGCTTGGGTAAACCCCACCAAAGCGCCCCTTTCCCCTCTGTACTCCAAACTTAGCTCCCAAACAGAGCGATGAGAAGCGGCTTCAGTTCTGCGTTGCAAGCCCTGTGTCTGAGGCTGGCTTTGATATGTTGGAACTTCTGCTCGTTATCTTGGTGTCTTATTTCTTCCACTTCACCACTCCTGTCATCCTTCACCACCCCTTCTCCTCCTTCTACTTCTTCTTTAAACTGGAAACATTTTTTTAAAAAGCTATGAATTTCAAAACAAAATAATAGGAGATTAGCAGTGGTTAACATATTGCACGTTGTTATCTTCAAGGTAATTGTTCAGATGACAAGATATAAGCATGAAAAACTGATGAAACAACGAAAGCACAAACCATACTTTTTGATGAACTAACAGAGATTAGTAACATAATTATCTATCTGTGACTTTTCCCTTCTTTCTTTTGCCCTTTTGTCATCCTTCTTAAAGTGTGTAATGCATATAAGTCATTCAAACTCCCAGAATTTTAATTCAGCCCCCACACAAATTGCTGATATTGTGTGAAAAACAATGTCATTCTTTCCAGTGTGGAGCACAAAATGAGAGATGGAGGTGCTTTGAGAGGCTCAGAATTCGCACTTGGTTCCTAACACTGAAGTCGCACTGTCCTGCCCTGCCCGTGCCATGCCTACTTTTCTGTCCACATCCCATGACCCCTTGAGTGTCCCTGTTCCAGTTCCGTGGCTTTCCCCATGACTGAGGCACACGTATGATTCCATCTGTTCCCTTTCTCTGAAACCTCTGCTTTCTTCACAGTCACTTTTGGTCATTGCAGTGACATCTGCTGTTGCTGGTTCCTCATCCAGATTCAGGTTAAATTACCTAGGAACGTGGAGATTGAAGTGTACGTGAGCCAATAAAGATGCCATGCCGATATCTGGTACAATGTATGCCCACGTAACAAAAATACCTGAAACAAATAACTTAAAAGAAGGAGAGAGTTGTTTTGGCTGAGGATTTTGCACCAGGTCACCTAGTGCCGTTTCTGGGGATGGAAGAGAGAGCATCATGGTGGAAGGGGTTGGTGGCAGAAGTTGCCCACCTCTGTGACAGTAGGAAGGAGAGAGTGAAACAGAGAGAGAGAGAGACAGACAGACAGACAGAGACACAGAGATAGAGAAGAGGAAGGAGGAGGAGGAAGAGAAGGAAAAGGAGAAGAGAGAGAGACGGAGGGGGAGGAGGAAAGGGCCAGAGGAAGACGTGGTCTGCAAGGCCCTATCCCTAGGACACACCCCTTCCAGCAGGTTCTGGGTCCCGTGTTTCCATTCCCTTCCCCAGCCCATCATATCATTAATGCCCATAGTGCATTAATTTATCAGGAAGGTCAGAGTCCAGTCACCTCCCAGAGTCTCATCCTTAAGCTTTGCTGCTTTGGGAACCAAGCTTGCCACACACGAACCTTTGGGATACATTTCATGTCCATAGTCTAGTACCCCTAACAGGCTGTTTCTTTTCAAGAATGTTGACTTCTATTTTGTAATAATAATGAAAAAATTACAGTTTAGCATAAACTGTTTTCAGCATCTCTTCAATGAATAAAAAGCATCAAAATCATATGTGCAACTTTTTTGGGGGGTACTGGGATTGAACCCAGAGCTTTTTTACTGATCTATTCTCAGCCCATCTTTTCTTTTTAATTAAGAGAGAAAAAAAAACACAGAAAAGAAAAACAAAAAGCAAAAGAGACAAACAAACAGCAACAACAAACCCCAAACAATGACATTATAGGTTTTTCAAAACAGGATGATAGGAATTTAACAATGGTTGTAATATTGATATTGTTATCGTCAAAAAGGTTACTTAGATTACCAAATATAGACATGTAAAATTGATCTAATCATATAAATATTAACTGTTCTTTTCCAAGAACTGTTATAACTAGTAGTATAATCATGTTGGCTATCTTATATATATAAATACAAATCCATGTCTTTTTCTTTTCCCCTTCCGCCTTTCCTCCTTTCCTCCTTTCCTCTATCCCACTTGCTTTTCCCCTTTGAGCAGCTTCTTAACTTTACGCAATATCTATTGTAGATTTTTGGTCATATTTGCTCTTTCAGTTTCTCACACTAGGAAGACAATATGGTATTTACACATGTGAGTTTGATTTATTTCACTTATGAGTATGATCTCAAGTTACATCCATTTACCTATAAAAATCTCAATGTGATCATTTTATAGCTGAGTAGTACTCCATTATATAAAAATACCACATCTTTTATATCCGTTCTTCAGTTGATGGGCATGTAGGTTGTTTCCAAGATCTGGCTATTACAAATTGTGCTGCTATGAACATGGGTGCACATATATTACTGTGGTATGATGTGTTCATTTTTTCTGGGAAAATGCACAGAAATGGGATAGCTGGGTCAAATGGAACCTCTAATCCTAGCTTTTTGAGGAATCTCTATACTGACATGTAGGTGGTTGCACCAGCCTACACTCCCACCAACAGTGGAGAAGGATTCCTTTTCCCCATAGCTGCTCCAGCATTTGTTATTGGTTGATTTCTTGATCTTGGCAGTTCTTTCTGAGTGAGATGGAATCTCAGTGTCCTTTTAATTTGCATTTCTTAAATGGCCAATGATGCTGAGCATTTTTTCATATTTATTTGACATTTGTATTTCTTCACCTGAGAAGGTTACATTTATCTCAGTTGCCCATTTTTGGACTGGCTTTTTGAAGTTTGGGGGCCTGATTTTTAAAAAAATTCTTTATATGTTCTAGATAGAAGTCCTTTGTCTGAGGGACAGTTGGCTAAGATATTTTCCCAATTTTGGGGTTTTCTTTTTGATCTGTTGGAGATTTCTTTTGACATGCAAAAACTTTTTAATAAGATGAGAATCCCAGGTGTTGATTCTGGGAAGTATTTCCTGTGCAGTTTGATTTTTGTTCTTGAACTCTGCCTACTCCTATGTCTTCAAGATTTCTACCTACTTTGTCTTCCACAAGATTTAGTGTCTGTGTTTTAATATATAGATCTTTGATCCATTTTGACTTGAGTTTAGTACCTGACGATAGGCATGGGTGTAGTTTTAGTCTTCGGTGTGTGGACAGCCAGTTTTTCCAGCACCACTTATTAAAGAGGCTGCCTTTCTTCCAGTGAATACGTTTGGCCCCTCTGCTGAAGATGGGGTGGCTCTCCGCCCGTCTTTCTTCCGTTTGAGACAGTTTTCTCTAAGTTGCTGAGTTTTCCAGGCTGGGCTTCAACTTGCGATCCTCCCACTTCAGCCTCTGAGAGGGCCGAGGTTACGGGCACGTGCCACTGTGAGTGGCTTGTTTCACCTCTTTTACATCATTTGTGCCGATAAAAATCTTTATTCAGGGAGTGTTTTTGCTTAGATCATAGATATTTGTTCTTCCCACTGAAAAATTGTGGCTGGATGATTATTTTACATGTCAGAAAGTTTGAGTGAAAAAAATGCATTACTCCATAGCACCTGCTTGTTAAAATTGTACCATAATACATTGGCTCAAATTTATCCTGCATTAGAAGCTAGTCATCTTTTAAATTTTAATGTAAAGAGATTGAAATTTTCTTGATTTATAAGGACAACTTAATTTTAGTAGAAGATTGAATGAGAGATTTGTCAGTAAATACTTCGGCTAAGATTATTTGTCAGTTTGTTATAAATAGCTGGGTTTTTAAACTTCTAGATAGAGGTCTTTGGTGTACATTGGAATATTTTTTATTTTACCATGTGTAGGTAAAATTAGTGCCTTATACATTTGGACAGCGGTACTCATTACATTTTAAGGAAATATTTTCCCCTGAAAAATGGAGTTCTCAAAAGTTTTCAGTTTTCTTAAAACTGTACATAAATTTAAACAATATATATTGTGTTACTCTGTGTGGCTTCCACTAGGAGGCAACAGAGACTATTATATATACAGAAGTACAGAATCATGTACTGGAAATTTCTTTCACAGATTTTAGCTCAAGTAGGTTTTGTTTTTGTTTTCTAAAACAGGATTTTCTGAATTTCTTCATAGCTGAAATAGCTTATTGCGTTGGGAACAATATTTAGCCACCCTTTCTTAGTTCTCTCCGTTAGTCCAAATATAATACCCTAGCTATGTTTAATTCCAATTTTAAACAATAGCGTGTTTTAACTTACTACTTTCAAGTCATGATTATAATATAAATATATTATAAAATAACCTATCCAATTATAAAGTATATTAGGTACATCATTGTTTTTCAAGGTTTTTTTAAAAAAATTTCTTTATTTATTGTTTTGAGACAGGGTCACACTACATAGTACAGGTTGACCTTGAACTCACTCAGTAGCCAGGCGGGCTCAAGCTCATGGCACTCCTCCTGCCTCAGCCTCCTGCCTGCTGGGGTTACAGGCATGTGGCACTGCACCTGGCTTTCTTTTTCTTTCTTAAGTTAGTAGAAAAGCCAATATTTAAAAGTTGTTGTCTTTGGTCAAGAGGTGCTCTGTGAACGGTATTCCTTTGGTGCTTTTCTCCCTCATTTTATTTTGGCTAGGGTTTGGGGACCGGAGTCTTGGCTTCCTAGTTGCCTTGGTGGCCCATTGCTTTGTCCCCCAAGGAGCAGCAGCTGTCGAGCTGCAGGTGACCTGGGTGTCCTGTCTGTCCGTCCCTGGTGCCAGGCTGTCTTCCCTTTCTCTCGCCCATCTTCAGAGCCTCTCTTAAGAGGCTCTGAAGTATCATTTCTCTCCCTCCACAAACCGAACCCACTGCCAATGAGCAATCCACATTAGCTTCTTCCGTCTCTGTAGCCTTGTGTGCCTGACAGCTGCTATTTGTTTCTAAGCATTTTCCAAACAGGGCAAAATAACCAAGTGTCCACCCTCCAGGGACAGCAGTCCCAAGCAGTTTGGCCTTAGTGCTGCCTGTTGCGTCTCAAGTACTGCCGCTGACAGACTGGATGCCCTGTCCATCCGGCCGCTTCTTAAGTAACCTTTTTACTTGAGTCTAAATGGTAGCCTAATTTAGACCCCCCAAAACCCCCAAATTCTTCATTTTAAAAATCAAAACAACTGCGCCCAGATTCCTCGGTTTCTTTTCCAGATACTTCTTACCCTTTGGAATTAGGACCTTCAGCGGACTCATTTTTCACTGTCTTGTTTTCCTTGTGACTTTCAGTCCTCGAGGCTGAGCCACCATAGATAGCTTTTTTCCTTCCTTATCTCCAGGCTTCCTTCTTTTTGTTTTCTTTCTTTCCTTCTTTCTGCCCTTTGGCCTCTCATTGCCAAGCCACCTTCTGTCACCAGCTCCTGCATTGCCGCTGCTCGGTGCTGTAAATGTGCCTAATGCTGTGTTCACAGCTAACTGTCCCCGGAGTGCTCCCTGTGCTGGCCGCCCTGCCAGCTGCCCAGTCTTGTGCTGCCTGTTTATCTCAGTGTGAGGAATCCCCTGTGTGCCCGCTGATCACCGATGGAGACTTGGTACTGGCACTGTCCCCTGTGGTGGCTTGCGTTTTTGTTTGCTTTCATAAGCATTAATGGCTCTAATCAGTCTCTTCTACCCTAAAGTTGTTTCCATGTTCTGTGTTTTAGCGAGAATATAAAAAGCTGTTTGAGGAAAACAAAGGCACGTACCATTTTGATGCCGATGCCTCGGAACACCTGCACCATAGAGGCGTTTCCACACTTCAGAGCCAGGTAAGTGCCCGTCACCATTGTGACACCCGCTACTGCTCGCCACCACTGTGCCCCTCAACTGATGAGGTACAGTCGTGAAAAGAACACCGCCAGGCAACATAAATGTTGCCTCGGGAAATCTCAGGCACCGTTTCCTATTTATAGGATCAGAAAAGCCTGACCTGTGTGTCCATACAAAGGCATTCCATAAAGTAGCAGTTACTCCACATAATCAAGAACTTCTAATGCAGGAGTTAAACTGTGGTCGAAGCTCAGTATTTACATGACTTGTTATTCTGAGCCCCCAAATTTTCCAGGTGCAATGTTTATTATTATAATTTCTCAGCTCACAAATGTGATTGAAAAAGGAAAACAATCTTGCTAGTATACTCTAAATTAATGTGTTTTGCAACTATGAAATCTTACGTACCTTAGAAAAGGCTTTTAAAGAATTCTTCTTATGACACTTTAAAGCTGATAGCCATGTTTTAATTCTGAGTTTAGCTTGCTGAAGGTGCCATATCTAGCATCTAAGCATTTAAGACAAAAATTTGCATGATTCTCTAAAATGTATTCTGTGAAACATTATATGCCTACCTTCATTTATTTTAAAAATATGCAAACTAGCTCCTCTTTAATGTTTAAAATATACATTTTAATCTTTTTGGTTATTTTCATTTCATTTTTTCTTTCACCAAACTTTAAAATAGTATGCTGTTAGCTTCAACACTTTTGATGGTCATTCTGTCATACTTTTCTGCAATAAAAATGTCTACTAATGGATATTTAAAAGTTATTTATATTTCCTGTCATCATAAAGTTCTAAATATTGAAAATTTTCCCTGTTTAAATTATCAATATCCTTATTATTATAAAACTTGAAGAATAGTTTCACAAAGTTGTTATACCTAAGAATTTTAATGAAAATGTATTTCTGTATAAAGTAAATTCTGATCACAATTACTTAATTTAATTTTAAACGGTATATTGACAAAAAAGTCAACCACTATTTTGTATTGTATGGCTAACATTTCTTATTTTTATATAGAAAATTTCACTCATTTTATAAACTAAGATAAGATGAGGACTGGTGATAATTGTAATACTAATTCACAATATGATATTATTAAGTAATGAATAGGAGAAAGAAAAGAAATCACATAAAAGTTTGTTTTATTCAGTGCCTTGTAGAAAAACGTAGCAGTTCTTTTGAAAAAAAGATAGAAGATCAAACCTGTAGTTTCTTAATAGGATTCCTCAGTCTCCCTTTCCAACCCTCCCTCCATGTATATCTTGTCAAATACCTGCTGTGTGCTTACATATCATATAAATGTATATGCACTATATTATTTGATGAGACTTTAGTCTCTTATGCAATTATGTTATTTAGTAGTTCTAAGTTACTTTTATTCCTCAAAATTTTTTATATATTACCCATTTACCTCCTTTACATGGCATTATTCTTAGGGAATTTAGTGATGATCCTAAATAGCTTGAATAACTTGGTTTTAGAAAGCAGTACGACTAATTTTGGACACTTATTTTACTTTGATCTGTATAGGGCTTTTGATTTTTTTAAATATAGTTTTCTTTCTTTTCATTTTCTCTTTTGGTGTGGACATTGAACCCAGGCTGTCACACATGCTAAGCACACCCTCTACCACTGAGCTACCCCCATCCTCATTTTTATATTCTTTTCTTACTTTTTTCTACCAAGGTTAAATATAAAGAAGAATATGAGAAGAATAAGGGAAAGTCAATGCTTGAATTTGTTGAGACTCCGTCATATCAAGCTTCCAAGGAAGCTCAAAAGATGCAGAGTGAGGTAGGTCTCTGGTCTTGTTATTAGTTGTTTAGTGTTTATGGGATGTTTTGCCATTTGAAAAGGACTGGAAGGTGGCTGAGAATGTGTAATGGGCCTAGCAGCAGGAGCACAGCTCTGCACAGATTTTGGAACCTACATTCTAGGCCTGGTGCCCACTGGCCGGAGTCTTGTCCAGGGCTTTGATGTTGGCTTTAGTTTTTCTCATTTGGTAAATACAATTACCAAGCCAGATAAGCTCTTAAAGCTCTTATCATGATTCTGTGACTATAGAACTGACATTTTCAGATTTTACTGCTGTAAAACTATGGTGAATAACTAAATGTTAAAAAACATTGAAAGGCTGGTTGCTTTTCCTTTTTCCCTTCGCAATAAAGTAGAACCAATATTTATTAAGTTCTTATTCTATGCTGGGTAATATACTCAGAGCTTTATGTCTTCTCATTTAATCCTCAAAGTAATGACACTCAGAAGGTATTATTTCTGGGTTTGTAATATATCCACTGGAATTAATCCTGTCAAATACAATTATATATCTAGTAAATTCCAGTGCTTTAGGATGGAGTCAGACTCATCTACAATTCCTTTTTTGCTACGAACTTATTTCTTTTTCTTTTTTAGTGAATACTTGAATTATTTTCCTACTTACTTTGTTCCTAACCTAAGATACAGCTGAGTCACATCAAGTTATTACTCGCACTGGGTTTTCTTTGTCCCAGTGAGATTTCTTCTCTTCTGTTGTGGAAACCGGACATACAGGTAGAAGGTTTTGTCAGTAGCCAATATCCAAATTCTATGGAAACAACTGAGTCATTACTTCCAAAGGGCAGAAATATGTTAAATATGTGTATCAACTAGTTGTGTTCAGTGGTCAGGCCTTTTTTCCAGTAATAACATCAAAACCTGAGGAAATGATGATATCTGGACAAAACCTTGCGTGGGAATTTTGTCAGCATTTGCTAGTTGTGGAGATGTTATAGTTCATCTTCAGATACTCCTGAGGTGTGTCAGGAGGGAGACAGCACCTCCACATGGTCCCAGGCAGCTTCCATCTCGGTTTCCCTCTTCCCTTTGTTGGTGTGTAGTCCTCATTTGTGCTGAGGACCCTTTTATCGTTCTTGCCCCATGGCCCCTGATTTCCATACTCTTAAGAAGTTAACTCTGCCGCCACCCACAAATCCTGGACCTTACAGTTCATGGTTATCACATTATGATGCCGTATTTGTGAATTGGAAATGATAGTAATTTATGGTGTTGGATTTTAGCTCTACATCTCTTACCATAGTTGCTGTCTTTTCTTCACCCAGTTGATTCTTTCGGTCCTGTCGAGTGAGACCTGTTTTCCCTTTCATTATAGCCCCAAGTATTAGATTCTTTTAGTTCCTCCTTTATCCCTTTGCTTGGTGGGGCTGGAGGAGAGCGAATTCTTGCAGTAGAAAATATCTTTGGACCACATTTATCCTCTGAAGACCTGAGAAAGAAAGTATCCAGAACTCTTTAAAAAGTTTGCCGTAGAAAGGCTTTAAATATAGGACCAGTGAAGGGCCAGGAGAGTCAGCTGTCACTGCAGGGTTTCATTCCCTAGACAGGTGCATCTCCGCATGCTTGTGCAGCCTTCCTGTGAAGCTGAGTATTCAGACTCGGGCAAAGCCTTTCACACTGCCTCACACTTTCTTCTAACGCCGGGCGTAGGTTTCATCATCGTGTTTCTTTCCTAGAAGAAATTCCTGTATCTGACCTTGAAAAGTTTCTCATCTTCCCTCACACAGATGTAGCTCTTCTAGTCAGAAGTTTGAGGATATTTTCCTTTTTCTTCAGGCTCTCGCTGGCTGGTTCCAGTCGCTGTAACTTTTCTTAATGACTTACTTCAGTAATGTTGTTCAGCATTAAGTGCTTTTTGAAGTGAAATAGCAAATATACATAAATAAATGCACAAACACATATATTTATATTTCACTTTATAGAGTCCCCTTAGCCTGGAAATGCCCTGAATTCAGCCTTATAACCATACTATCTTGATTAGATCCAAATTTTAAAAAAGAGAAAGTTTTTCACTTTTGTTTTTGGGATATCTATAGTTCTTTAATTTTGAAGCCTCCTAGAGCAACTCCATAATTAAATTTACAAGATGCTCATTGTAGATGTACAGAGATGCTCAGAGAGGAGGTGACATACTTATTTTATTCTCTCTCATGGTTTGGAGAATTTCTTTATTCATACAATTGCTTTCTCTGTAATAAATACATAATAAACATAGATAACTTCTCCCTTTGTGAGAATAACATTCTCATTTAGAATTTGTTTTTTATGATATAATCTGAATAAAATATTTGACTAAGTAATCTGGTCCTTGCTTAGTAAATACTTTGCATAAGTGGATATTTTTATAATTTATAGAAACTGTGTTTTCAGTCATAAAACATGATTTTCTTTTTTTAAATCCATTTTTTCAAGGGTAAAATTTTAAAAAAAAACAAGAAAAGAAAAAAACTACAACAAAATTTCAAAACATGTCAATCAAGGGGCAACAATGATGCATACATTGTACATTGCCATCCCCAAATCATTCACCCAGAGCACAAGACAGCTGCATTCAGTTATCTGAGCAAGACCAGCACAAATCTTTCTCTTCAGTGAACTCAGAGAAATCAGTAGCATAACTGCCTTAACTATTTTTTGGTACACATATACATACACATATATATATATGTTTTTTCTTTCAGTTTCTCACACTAATGAAACAATACGATGTTTACACATGTGTGTCGTATCTCACTAATGAGTATGTTCTCCAGATGTATCCATTTAACTACAAAGGTATCCATTTTATCCTTCATTATAGCTGAATAGTACCCCATTGTATAAAAATACCACATCTTTTTTATTCATTCTTCAGTCGATGGGCATTTAGGTTGTTTCCAAGATCTGGCTATTACAAACTATGCTGTTATAAACATGGGTGAACATAAATCACTGTGGTATAATGTTTTTAATTTTTCTGGGAAGATACCCACAGAGAAATAGCTGGGTTGAATGGGACTTCTAGTCTTAGTTTTTTGAGGAATCTCCACACTGATTTCCACAGTGGTTGTACCAGTCTGCACTCCCACCAGCAGTGGACAAGGATTCCTTTTTCCCCACAGCCCCTCCAACATTTGTTATTGATTGATTTCTTGACAGTAGCCATTCTTTCTGGGGTGAGGTGGAATCTCAATGTTGTTTTAATTTATGTCTCGAATGACCACTGATGTTGAACATTTTTTCATGTATTTATTTGTTGTTTGTATTTTTTTATCTGGTAAGTATGTATTCATCTCAGATGCCCATTTTTGGATTGGGTCTTTAAATCTGGGATTTTTTGCATTCTTTATATGTTCTTGATAGTAATCCTTTGTCTGAGGAACAGCTAGCAAAAATTTTCTCCCATGTTGTGGGCTGTCTCTTCACTCTGTTGGTGGTTTCTCTTGCTATGCAAAAGCTTTTCAGTATGGTGAGATTCCAGTTATTGATTTTTTGTGATAGTTCCTTTGCAATCAAGATTTTGTTCATAAAGTCTTTGCCTATACCAGTGTCTTCAAGAGGTTTACCTACTCTGTCTTCCAGAAGACTTCATGTTTCTGCTTTAATATTAAGATCTTTGACCCCTTCTGATTTTAGTTTAGTACATGGTGAAAGATAAGGGTCCAGTTTTAATCTTGGGCATGTGTAGAGCCGGTTTTTCTAGCACCATTTATTAAAGAGGCTACCTTTCCTTCACCTAATGAATGTGTCTGGCCCCTTTGTTAAAGATAAGATTGCTCAGGGTGTCTGGAGTTGTTTCTGCCTATCTTCTAATCTGTTCCATTGATTTTTAGGTCAGGTTTTTTTTTTTTTTCCAGTACCACACTGTTTTTATCACAGTAGGTTTATAGTATAAATTTAAGTCAGGAATTATGATGGCCCATGCCTTGTCTTTGTTGGTCAGGAGTGTCATTGCTATTCTAGGTCTCTTCTGGTTCCAGATGAATTTTAGATTTTTTTCTCTATTTCTGTGAGATATGCTATTGGAATTTCAATTGGGATTGCATTGAATCTGTATAACAGTTTTGGACGTATGGGCATTTTCACTCTATTGGTTCTTCCTACTCAAGAGCATGGAATATCTCTTTTTTAATATCCTCTCCCATCTCCTTTTTCAGAGTACTATAGTTTTCAATGTAGAGGTCTTCTACCTCCTTTGTTAGATTGATTCCTAGGTATTTCATGTTTTTGGATACTATTGTAAAAGCTGTTATAAAACATGATTTTCAAAGTCATAGCTCCAGTGCTAGAATTTTGAGAATCTTAGTCAAAGGGTGTCAGGGCAGATAAAGGGCAGGCATTTTCACAGTCTTTTAATTTTTAATTTCTGGTGGTGAACTCTTACCTAAAGAAGGATTTATCCAAGCCAAATGTGGTGGCACGTGCCTCTAATTCCAGAACTCTAGCAGGCTGAAGCAGGAACATCACAAGGTTGAGTGTTGCCTGAACAACTTAGTGAAGCTGTCTGAGAATAAAGAATGAAAAGGGCTGGGGATGTAGCTCGGGGAGAAGGTGCCAAGGCCCTGGGTTCAAACCCCAGTACCAAGAGGTGGGCGTGGGGAGAGAATGATTTACCAGGTTCAAAATGAAATCTTCCTTAAAGCGTAACCTGATTCATGTTGAATTGCTTAAATGGTAGAGAAATGCTCAATGCCACAATTATTAAAAATTACTCCTCCTGAGCCGAGGATTTAGCTGAGTGGCGTAAGTGCCTGCCTTGTAAGCACTAGGTCATGAGTTTGATCCCTGGTACCCCCCCAAAAAAAAATTCCTCCTCCTTCCCCATTTGCATTTTTGAAATGCTATTTACTGAATTCACAAAAGATGGAGGATGAGAAGGATGAAGGTGCTGTGACTGTGAGTGCTACTTTGGTTTAAGTGGATCTCAGCACCACAGAGTTTCTTCCAGGGCACGGGAGAAACTTCCTTTGGAGTGAACCAATCAGATTATCCCATCAAGTAGCCATGCTTTCTGGTCCTGCCCTAGAGTGGGGTGATGTGAACCAGATAGGAGGGTGCTGAGCCCCTGCATGCAGAATGGTTTATCAGAGGGATGGGACGATCCTTGATGTTTCTGCTTCTATTTGGTAGAATCTTGAAATTTAGGATAAAGTTGGAATTATTTTCCTGTGTATAAGAGTCTGAGATGGTAGAATTATATAACAAAACATTGATTTGTTCTAAGAATTCTTGCTGTCATGTCTTTGTTTTAATTTCTAAATTTTTATTAGTACCTGTCTGCAGTACATAATATTTCTGTTCCTTGTGTGAAGTTGGAACATGCCCAAAACACATCTGATTCCTTTTTTCATTCCCTTCCCCCATCTCTTTATCTCCTTCTCTTTTGAGAAAGATCTACTTCTCTACTTCCTATTATCTATCTTTTGTTTTTCTCTTTACTTATAACTTGGGTTTCTCATATAAGTGAAACCTACAGTCTTACTCTTTGTGTCTGATTTGTTTCACTTAACATTATGCTCTCAAGGTGCATCCATTTTCCTACAGGAGATTCGAGCTTAACCTTCTTTATGGTAGAGTAGCACTCCATTGCATATAAATACTACATTTTTCATTGTCCATTCTTCTGATGATGGACATACACACTGCTTCCAAGATCCAGCTATTATTAGCTGCTGTGAACTTGAGTATGCATGAAATACTGAAATGTGATGTCTTTAACTCTTTGGGGAAGATATGCTTTCTTTTTTTTTTTTTTTTTTTTGTCTTTTTCCTTTTTATCGGTACTGGGGATCGAACTCACGACTGCCTGCTTGCAAGGCAGGCGCTTATGCCGCTGAGCTAAACCTCCAGCCCCCGGAAGATATGCTTTCAGTAGTTGCTAGAATTTCCTGCTTTTTAAAATGATATGATCTCATTTTACAGAGAGTTTACAAAGAGGATTTTGAGAAGGAGATTAAAGGAAGGTCCTCACTGGATTTAGACAAGACTCCTGAATTTTTACATGTAAAGTACATCACCAACCTTCTGAGGGAGGTAGGCGCTTGCTATTTTCTGTTAAATATCAAAAAAAGAAATCTAATGAAATAACTTAGGAAATATTTACTGAAAAATTGTCTACTAATTGAGTGTTTGAGATTTTTAACATTACCCTTTCAAGTGTGTGTGGACACATCTATTTAAAATTAAGGAAAAATTTACCTAGCTTTCTGGAAAAACTTGAAAAATGTTATGATTTTGTCTTCTGATTATAGCTCAGAAGCTCTAAAAGCACTGAGTTTTATAATGTCATGATAATTAGTTTTTTTAAAATTTTATTTAAAAGGAAAAAGAGAAAAAAACAAAACAAAGCGGTGTAAGTGTACAAGTAATACAGAACTACATTAAAAAAAAAACAGTAAGAAATCACCAGTTAATAGATGACACATTATCATCTTAGAGATAGTTGCTCAAGTCACAGTTTCAAAGCATACAAAGTGGACATTCAAACAGTGAGACTGCAAACAGTTGTGTTCAATGATCCAACCAAAAACATTAATATGGTCAGCTATTTAACACCCCTAAACACACTTGCAGTTGTATCCTTTAGAGCACTTTTTTTCCCTCTCTTTTTTACAATAAAATTTACACATTTTGGGTTTTATTACTCCTTAGTTCTTATTACTTTTTTTTTTGGAAGAGAATAAAGTCAAATATGGCAAAACAAAGCTGTCAGTCAAAACCAAGGATAGACATAGTACATGATGTAAAAACAGAGTACAAGATTATCAACAATGGTTACCATAAGACAATTAGTTTTTTTAAAAAATATATTTTGTATATAGATGGGCATGCTTGATTCTTTCAAATTTAGATATATATTAGAACTAGCTTCTTTGGTAGCTAGAGAAAGTCTGGAGCAGTGGTATTCCAGCAGAATACCTTGTGCTGGGAAAATTATGCAGCTAGCATATGGAACTGAAGAACTTGTATTCATTTTTCATTTCATCTTTCTTCCCAAACATAGAGATACATTTTGGCTTAGAACTAATGTACTGAATTTGCTGATCATTAAGGTCTTCTAACTTGTTAAAAATATCAATGCGTGTGATCCATCCCTGTTAAATGTGTGTTTCTTTTCAGTGGCTGAAAACTACCTCATGCTCTTTCAACTCTGCTTGGACAGAAAGCATTCCTTGATTGTAACTGGGATCATAATAATGGCATAAATATAACAAAATAATTATATGTCAAGTAGAGCATGTATTTAAAAGATAGTGAAATTCCGCCTCAGGTGAATTTTTGAACTGAAGAAATGATTTCTGAAAGAAGTGTCTTCAAGCAGTGAAAGAAATTAAAGCCTAATTTCTATGGAGAAGCATGTCAGCGGGAACTTATTTAATAAACAGACGCCCGCTGGCTGGTACCACGTCACTGAGTACCGTGCATTGAACCAGTGGTGCTTCCTGGAAACAGGCGTGTAATTTCTGTGTGATTACTCTTGGTACTCTATTTTTTTATTTCTAGTTTCAATAAATTTTTGAAGTTGAAGTTGAATCAAATGACAATTTCTTACTGTTACTGCCTTCTGTTTAGAAAGTATATATTGCTCTCATGAATTTTTGAAGGGGTGTCTTTATAATTGGGACACAAATGGCAATGTAAGAACTATTTTGAGATCCATAAATGACTAATGCGTGCCATTGTCTTTTTCTTCCATTCCTCTTGTATAAGGGGGAGAAATACAACTAATTATTGAAAACAGGTAATGTAAGAATAATAATGCTAGGAATTTTTCCATTTAACAAAATCAGCAGGATTAAGTTGATAATAACGTAGACTTACTGATTCAGAATAGTACACAGAATAGGATTATTGTATTGGTGTGTTAGTGGCTGCTATAATAAAATACTATAGACTAGGTAGCTTAAGAACAGATATTTTTCATAGCTGTAGAGATTTGCAGTCTCCAGGTTGAGGTGCTGGTAGACTGGTTCCTGGTGAGGTCTCTCTTCCTGGCTTGACAGCTGTCTTCTTGCTGCATTCTTAGAAGGAGAACTTCGTTCTCTTCCAACAAACCCATTAATTCCATCATGGGGGCTGCACTCAAAGCCTCATCTAAACCTGATCGTCTCCCAAAGGCACCTCTCACCCCAGAATACCATTACATTGAGAGTTAGGACTTCAACATATGACTTATGAGCGGACATGAACATTTAGTTCATAAGAGCTATGATTTAGTATCTTGAATTATGGAAATGTCTAACTTCCAATGATTTAATTAAGTTATAACTTCTCTTTTTAAGTGTAAACATTGCGCTGTAAGTAGACATTACTTTCCTTACTTTATGGCTTTTACCTTCACCTTGCCACTTGGGGTGTTCACGAATCATTTTATGCTTAATCTCATTTGATTCCTTCTGCTGGTCTTTGAGATTGGTAGAACAGAGATTTTTTATTTTCATTTTTCACATGGAAATCAAGGCTGAGTCATATGACCAAGTGAAGGAAAGAGCTTAGCTGCCAGATCATTTTCCTCAGTGCTGTTTCTAAGATCATGGGCAGACCATGACCATGCTCATAAGCTCTTAGTTGAGAAGAGAATGGGCTAATTTAATTACAGAAGGCAAAAGGGAAATAGCATGAAATGTACCCTAGAATTAACTGGAACCCAGCTTCTTATCATTAAATGGAATTTCATCTTTCATCTGGCAAACGATCATAAATGAAACAGTTTAATGGGAAGAAGAGACTAATTATTTTATAATGCACTTAAGGGAGATAACAAGCAACTCATGACCAGAGAACAGCAAGTTCTATAGAAGCATTCGTCAGACATTTGGAGCTACTTGAAATATAATACTATAAAAGGAGAAATTCAAAATATGTAGTATCAATCTGTGGGAAATGATTTGGTTTTATAAATCTTTGAATAAAATGGAAACTTAAAGAAGTATCTTTGGCCACAATAATGCTTTTGATTGTGTAATTTTCCATTCCTTTCCAGCTATATTCTTTTGGTAATTCCTTTTTAATGGACATTTAAAAAACTTTATAAATATACAGTAGCATGCAGATCTTAAGATTTTCCTTACCACATAGAGGAAAGATAGCTTTTTCAGAAATGCATGGTGTCTCCAAAGCTTTGGAAGAAAGCATAAGAGAAAAGACTGAAAATACTGGTTGCCACTCTCACAGGAGAAAATGAAATTTCTGTGGGAAATAAGCATGAATATTCAGTAGTTTAATGTCTTCCTTCGTAGTCATAACTTCTCCTATCTGTGATCTCTAGAAAAAAAAACCTTAATTTCTGGTGAGCTTTGAATGGTCGTATCTTTATCTTATAGAAAGAATATAAAAAAGATTTGGAAAATGAAATAAAAGGGAGAGGAATGGAAGTTAGTTCAGAAGTTCTTGATATTCAAAGAGCAAAACGAGCATCTGAAATAGCCAGTGAGGTGAGTACGTTTATGTCACAACTTACGTGTACACATTTTCCATTGATTTTCTTACCAAAAAATATTCTGCAGTTTCTAAACATCCCACAATTGGTAGGTGTTGATGATAGTAATCAACTATATTCTTATGTTCTAGTACTAAATAGTCTTCTGTTACACTAGTATGAGAAAAATAACCTTTTGTTCCCTTTTTTTCTTGAGAAAATGTATGTAGTATACCAAAGTAGTTTTATGAGATTTGACTTGCTCTTTCAAGTCTGTAAAAAGCAAAAGATTAGGAAGATATGTTCTCGTGATCTGTCAGAGGTGGCAGTGGAAAGGTTCATGCCATCCCGCCCCGAGCCCTTTCTGTGTCCCCGTCCTCATCCAGCTGCTCAGGTAAATCTTTTCATCAAAGGCAAGTGGCCACCTCTCACTTTCTGTGACATTTATAAGAAGAAATGAAGTGTTCCCCTCGTATTTGGCTATTGTTCTGGTCTCATACAGTGGCAACATGCCTTGAGAAGACTCTAGCTGAATTTAGTGGTCAAAACCTTGAAGCTTCTTCTCCATCTGTTACACTGTAGTGATGATGATGAGGAGGAGGAGGAGGAGGATGGTAATGATGACAGCCATCCTACTTAGGTATAGAAACCAATTTGAACTAGGTTATGTGACAAAAGAATATGTTAGTCGACAGGATAGAAAAGTCCAAGATCCAGTTTCCTTCTGGTGTCAAAGGGAATCCCTCTTCTTTATCTGGCAGTTCTGTTATCTTCCCTGTGAACCTCATTCTTGGGTGGCTGTTGCCATGAAATGACTCCTGGGGACAGAAGAATAATTCATTATCTATGGCCAGTTATTCCAGTTGGAAGTGAATGTCTGGTTTATGGAGTTCCAGTGAGGGTCCTAGGATAACATCTGCTCAGATCAGCTGTGTTCTGTGTTCACCACTGACCCACCCAGTCGTTATGCTGGGGGTCAGAAGAATGCAGTGTGCTGATTTGGCTTTTCATGGTGACACACTGGTTTAGTTAATTTCCTATGTTACCTAACAGTGTCCCAGGTACAAAATAGTCTACATTTACATGTAATTAAAAACATATTAATCTTGGCTATATTTATACTCTTTAAATAAATGATTTTTAAAGCATTTTAGTGGAATTAGAAAAACATGGGAAAAGCCTGGTGGCGTGGTACATGCCTGTATTCCCAGCCCTTTGGGAGACTGAAGCAAGAAGGATTGCAAGTTTGAGTGCAATCTAGTCCCAGTTTTGTCTTGTAATAACTTGTCAGTAATATTTGGAAAAATTGTACTAATGGCAGAGCAGTTGAGTGGCAATATGACAATAGGAGCCACAAAAAATTGGTCCTTAATAGAAAGACCTGAAAGGGTGCGGGGGCATAGTGATGAGAGACCAACGAAAGCTCTCGCTGTTGATATGTGTGCTCGGCTCTGTGCTGTGTGTGAACTCACAGATTTTCATAATGGACTCTGCATGAATCTATTACCATCCCTGCTTTAGAGATGAGCAACCCAGAAATGATAAGAAACATTCCCAGGGTCACACAGCTATTGAGTGTTCTGGCTCCAAAGTCGGCTCTCTTTCTACATCAGCAATCCACTTCCACCCATGTTCTTGTCCACCCATCCCCAGAACAATCTTCTGTGAAGATTCTCACCTGGTAATTACCTTTTTGACACTGAGAATCTTCAGAGCTTATACATCCTGCTTCAGTAAGAATAGCACTATTTACTTCTATGCAACGCAGAGTATTTAGTTCTAGGTGATCAGTCAGAGCACAAACTAGACTGTGTGCTGTCCTTTTTTAAATGTTTGGCTATTTTTTACTATCAGAGACTGTAGGTACTTGTTTGTCTGTGGAATGTGTGAGTGTTGTAAAATGGTATCTTTAGCAAGGATACAGGAAGGACCTGGAGTCAGTAATTAAAGGGAAGGGAATGCAAGTTGGCACCGATGCCCTGGAAATGCAGCGTGCCTAAAAAGCTACTGAGATAGCCAGTGAGGTGAGTATGTAGAGTTAAGATTTTGAGATCTTAAATTTCTGCTTTGAAACTTAACAAATCATATTAGCAACTTAATTAGTGTATGGAATTCTCAAAGTTCTCTGGCTGGTTTGACAGTTAGTAATGGAAACCATTTCAAAAGCTGTTGTGTTTATTTGAAAATTTATAGTTTTTGCATTGCTCATATTCTTTAAATACATCAAAGAAGGCTTGAGGAAAGGCATTTTAATAGAATACACACACGTGCATGCATACACGCAACATACTCCTACATACTTTATTCCCCAATACAACAAGCCTTGTGTTAATGTAGGTCATGATAAATGTTTTCATACTGTGTTTTCTTTAGAATGGATCATGGTGTGCTTGGCATAGCTGTGTTTCCCACTTACTGAGAACTCGAAAACCACATGTTGAGACACATGAGAACAGTTGCCATTTCTGTGTGACTGCAAGTTCTTAAAATACCCTCTGTTGACTTCATCTCCTGGAGTCACTAGGGTCAGCAGTTAGGGCGGAGACATTAGTCATCCCCAATGACTGTGTTTATTCATCCAGCATCATTTTTGCTTTATGCAATATGTGTAAATCCTATTAATTTAGAAGTTTTGTCTTGATGCTGAGATATGGTAGATATCACCTAACAAAATTACAGAAGTTGGAATGTATGTGTGTTGTTCTAAAGAAATATCCTACTACTGGCTCTAAACCTCCTTCACTTCCCCAGAGATTCTGAGAGGAGAAGAGAATCATAGAAGGGAGACTGTTTTGGATGAGGTGTTTTTGTGAGCAGTGTTTGTGGAGAGAAATTTGAAGTGCAGGTTAAGGGATGAGAGTTAGGCACCTCAAAGATCGTTAGGTGGGGTTTCCATGGGACTATTTAGAGCTCTTCTGTGAGTTTTAGGATTAGGAAGACCTGCCTCATTATTGGCTGCTTCCCAGGGAGTCTATGGGCCAGAGATAGCTGACTCACTGCCTGGGGAATTGCTATGTGGGAGCTGCCTGATTCCCAGGGCTGGGCACTGGCTGGACAATGAGGTCCTTGTGATTGGTTTAGACAGAGGAACTAGAAATGGCAGGAATTCCTAACCAATAAGGGTTCTGTTTTGAAGTGGCAGCCAGGCATGAACAGCAGGAAGAGCTGAATAGACTTGAAAACTCCCTGCTGCCCCTCTTTGATTCTGTTCTCTTCCTAGGAAAGAACCATTTTTGTAAGTTTTGGAGCCTTTCGTATCTGTTTTGATATACATAAATGTACACATGTAGCCTTTAAAAAAACTTACATATGATCATATATTGTTTTGTGGTTTTTTTTCTCCTCACTTAATATTATGAGGCTGCTCTATGTCACTATATAGGGGCTAACCTCATTCTTACAGAAACAGTAATGAAAAAATAAAGCTGTGTTCTACAATTCAGTTTGATGAGTCACCATTTACCTTGCGTGTCCAGGTGGAAGATGTACCATGAGATCTTCACTGTTTATCACCCATTCCCAGTTTGTTTTCTCGACCCCATCAGTTAAATCACTTTGATTCTTGTCAGTACCAAGTGTTATTCTGTAGCCCCATAATGGTGTTCTGAATCCATCTCTTCTTCAATCTAGTCTAAACTGCCACCTCCATCACCAGGATCATTGCAGTGGTTCCCTACCCAGAATACTCTTTGCATTCTTACCCTTTTAATATGCATATTTGAACCCAGCAACCATAATCACAGAATTGTCTGAAAGTTTTTATTGTGAGAAGGAGGGACTGTCCAATACCACTTCACGTTACTGAATTGGCGCATGGGGTAGCAGAATGGCGGGGGGCTTCAGGGCTGGAAGAGAAGCTTTCAAAGTGATCCTCATGGAATGAGAGTGGAAGCCAGTTGAAAGTATCCTTTCCCTAGAAAAAGGAACATGAAAACAGTAGATATTTTACCCTTTTACCTAGAAATAGACTGTTAAAATACATGCCTTTCATGGAAGCCGGCATTCAGAGCTTTCATTACTATGTTAATTAATTTGTTTGTTCCATAATATGGTGATTTAGATTTCTCTTTGTTGTTTAGGACAGATATAAGGAAAATAGTGCAAATTTTGTTCCTGAAAACCGAGGGGCAAATAGGTTTAGGGGAGGCAGTTGTATTAGGGTTACGTATAACTCAAGCCAATATTGGTGATGCTACTATCTATAGAATCTGAATATCTGATTGGCAAATAATCATAGTCATATCCAGTTTTGCTAAATTAAAATGCTTTAAATTTCTTTCAACCAAAGTTTGGGACTTCGTGTGTTTTATTTTTTAATATCCAAAGCTTATTTTTCAAGTAAGGTTAATATAGTAAGTACAGTAACACCTCACCGCATGAATGCTTCCTTTTGCAAATAATTCAATTCACAAACAAACATGTTGGGCAAAATTTTGCTTTTGTCCGAAAACTCCGCATCATGTGATAAACATGACCACAGTCATCATCTACACACAAACACAAACTCAGCCATCTCCCCACCTTGTAAAACAAATTAAGTTTGTAAAACAAATTAAGTTCATAAGCTTAATTTGAGGTGTGACTGTATATGGTTATGCTGCTGATTCCCCCACTAGTCAAACCTTCCTGCATCTTTGGGCTTGGCCAGGCGACATTAGCAATTTGACATGGACAAAGGCTATCAGTACTCTTGTGCATTAGGATTTGTTCTCTTCAAACACAGAAGGGCATGTCTTATTATGTAGCAATAACAAATACCTGATATAATTGGTGTCTGATGTAGTCTGTATGCTTTAGAACGCTTTTAGATACGACAATTCATATCACAAAATTGAGTGACATATTTCTACCATGGAATCTTGGTGGTAGTTTTTAACCAGTGCCTCAGGTTCTACGTACATTAGTCTTCAAATTAAGTGTGTTGTTTTAGGGCTGTATATAGATCTACTGAAAACAGAGTGCTTTTATCAGACACTATAATAATGGAATATTATTTTTGGTAGTTAAACATTATTGCTTGACCTTTTAATTAGCAGAGTGCAACTGAGAGTGTGTAATCTACTAAAAACAAGCCAAGTAGGGCTGGGGGTTTAGCTCAGCGGTACAAGTGCCTGCTTGGCAAGTGTGAGGTCATGAGTTCGATCCCTGGTACTAAACAACAACAACAAAAACCTAAACAAACAAAAACAAGCCAAGTTATGAACAGATAAGGGAAAATTTCTCTACGATTGTGAATTTTGTTTTCAACTTATTTGAAGTTTTTAAATGGCTTTAAAAGGATTATTCAGAACAGCACAAATAAGCGAACCAGCATTTACCTTATACCAGAGAATCTACCAATCCTAAGTGTGTAAATATACAACATTATTGTCAGAAGAAATGTAATGTAGTTCATATTCTGTAATTTTTAAAGGAATGACTTACAGAAAATGCACAAATATAAATTGCTTGCTGACTTTTATTATTAATTTTTTTTTTGTCTTTTTCGTTTTTATTGGTACCAGGGATCGAACTCACGACTGCCTGCTTGCAAGGCAGGTGCTTATGCCGCTGAGCTAAATCCCCAGCCCCCTGTTATCAATTTTAAAATGTGCCCAGATCCCTTAGGGTATGTGTGCCTGCCTGTAATTTTGACTATTTGGCAACAGGTGGTCCAAATCAAGCTGTCTTTTTTTTTTTTTTTTTTTTTTGTCTTTTTCCTTTTTATCGGTACCGGGGATCGAACTCACGACTTCCTGCTTGCAAGGCAGGCACTTATGCCGCTGAGCTAAATCCCCAGCCCCCAAGCTGTCTTTTAAAAAAGCAGATAACTTATTGTTTTTATGACTGAACAGTAGAAAAATTCTTAGCCCTGGCTTCATTAAAGGCCCAAATACAGTCATGCACGACATAATGACTTTTGGTCAATGAAAAACCGCACATTTGATGGTGAGCCCTTAAGATTGTAATAAAGCTGCAAAATTCCCACTACCTAGCAACACCACAGCCATCCTAATGTTGCAGTGCAACATATTTGCAGTTGTGCTGGTGTAAACAACCCATTGCCTTGCCAGTTACATAAAAGTATAACACATACCATTATGTTCAGTCTATAATTCTTGAAAACGAACGGAAGTGTCTTTAAACTGGTCTGTGTGTTTACCATACTTCTTATCAATTGTGTATTCTTTCTATTTATTAAAAAAGCAATTTACTATAGAATAACATGTTATTCTGGCAGCAGCCTCATATATCCTATGGTTACCAAGTCTTCTGATTGCATTGTGTTCTCCTGTGCTTGATTTGACCTTGCATTGTTTGGCTTAGCCTGGTCCTGCGAGCAACAGACTAGATCCATATATGCCACATTATCTGGGTGGGTAGTGAGCAATCCTGTGGAAATTTTTGTGAATACACTCTAAGGTGTTCACCCAGGAACAAAATTTCAGAGTAACATATTTTTCAGAATGTATCCCCTGCATTAAGAGATGCTCTGACTTTCATTTGTAAGGGAAGTTTTATTCTGTTTGTAAAGAAAGTTTCAGCAGCCGCTTGGCTGTATCCTTCTTTGTTCATGTCCAGAAGGAAAGAGGATGTCTGTGATCTTCTGTAGAAAAATAAATGTGCCTATCCCTGAACCAGTCACTCAGAGCCAGGGATGGATTATAATCATCTTAAGTCTTACAGGGCCCAGAGAATTGGGCCAAACTCATTCAAGCAGACTGGTTTGGAGTGGGGAGCAGTGAGTTGCAACCACTGTGAAAAGCAACAAATTTCAATGACTTTTTGTTAACATTTTTCAACTGAGTTGTATGTTAACCAGTAATTTATGGAGTTTATTATATTGTTATATAACACCCCCCTGTTCTATTCTCTCTCTTAATTCAGATTTGTAGACAAAATCTTCCTCCTTACTTATGACTAATTCTCTCCATGTCATATTTCTACAAAAAGTTAAAACTCTCATTCTAATAAAATAAAAGAAATAAAGTATCCAAGTTAATTCAGATAAACTGGTCCTCACCTTCAAATGACAGCATAGCTTTTCAGCGAGATTCTAAGTGATTACAGGGCACTAACAGAGTGTTTCATTTTTTGCAGAAAGACTACAAAAGAGACCTGGAGATTGAAGTTAAAGGGAAAGGAATGCAGGTCAGTCCAGACACTCTCGAAGTCCAGAGAGCTAAGCGAGCATCCGAGATGGCCAGCCAGGTGAGAGCCTCACACATACCGGGAGTCCTGTCCAGAGAGTATAAATGGGCCTTCCACAGGAAGGCCTTTGCTGCTGAAAAACGTAGATGTCTACATTGCTCTTAAAGGTGAAGCAGTCACCATGATCATTTTCTACTCTTTTAGAAACAGTATAAGAAAGACTTAGAAAATGAAATTAAGGGAAAAGGAATGCAAGTGAACATGGATATCCCAGATATGCTTCGAGCCAAGAGGGCATCTGAAATCTACAGCCAGGTGGGTAGAAGTTGTAGGTGTTTAGAATAATGTACTCTTTAAAAGTTTTTTATTAACGTGTCTGCAGTACATGATAATGACACTCCTTGTGAAGAGTTGGGACATGGACATAAAACATCTTAATCCTCAGCACATTCCCGTCTTCCCCTCCAGTCTTCCTCTGTCTCTTGGTTTCCTTTTCATTTGTGAAAAATCTATCTTCCTACTTTTCTATTGGTGATATTTTTCCTCTTTAAATTATTTATACTTTGGTTTCTAATATCCAATCCCTGTGTTTTGTGTGCTGCTGTGATTTATTTTATTTTTGAAGACATTGCATCCAAAGTCAGTACATTCTATTATTAAGAAACCGTTGTTCAAATGATTAAATTTATTAATTAAAAGGACACCTGCTATAGATTCAATTCAATTCAGCAGACATTATACTGTGCCAGAGGCCCCCTTTTTGAGTCCCTTTGTTTTGAGTACAAAGACATTTGACCTTCTTTTTAAATTTTTGACTTCATTACATTCTTGGCTTGAATGTTCTCTGATCATAGTCCAGAAAAAAAATTCCAAAGATTTGACTCTTGACCACTTCATAATGAATATTGTTGTTAGAATAATCAGCTCTGAATAAAATAGTAGTGGCTAAACCTGCACAAAATGTGAGGTGAAATTGAATGTTAACTAAAAGTGAAGGAAGAGCTTTTTTATAGTAAAATTTATATCTCACAAGTACATGCCTGTCACATAGTGTCTTGAAAAAGCTGAGAGAAATAATGATCTCAAAAGAAAATTTTTTGCAGAAAAAAGAGGTTACTTCTATATTGATTTGGGCAAAAACTTTCATTAGTGAATACTATTTTTGCCGTAAAAATGACGTAGAAAAGAATGAATCTTAATGGAAAAAATAGTAAAGGAGAATGAAAACAAAAAGAAATTAGTTATAGAAAATAGAGCAAGAGATTAAATTTGATTAATAGAATTTATGCCGAGAATAATTTTTGACAAAATCTCATCACATTTGTTAGAATTCTGGTTAAAACCTAAGTAAAAGTCTAAACATCTCAGATTCAATGGGAGTGTCAAGATGGCAGGGTGGAAATGTCACATGTGGAGTGTTCGAGTGTGACTCTTAGGGTACATCTGACTTTTTGGGGTTTTAATGCCGGAGGAGACAGTGGAATACTGGAGAGGATGTCCTGATGCTGTGCTGCATTTTCACACGGAGAGCAGGTGTTTTCCTTCCAAGCACAGAATTCTGTCATGTTAACTTCACTAGCCAGGGTGCCTAGTTCAAATCGTAGCTCTGACATTTAGTAGCTGGGGTCTCAGTTTCCCCTTCTATAAGACGGGTATGATTAGGGGATTGATTAAATAAGTTAATGTGTGCAAAGTATTTAGGACAATACTTACATTCTAAATATGCATTAGTACTATGTATAAGCTATTGTTCAGGTTTTGTCATTATTATAGTAGATAGAAAATTGAAATATTTGTATCTCATTTGCAAAAATGCTGACACTGTTACCTTAACTAAACACATCTTTACATAAATTAGTAACAAAAAGCATAAATAGTAGGTATAGGGTCAGGTTACTTCAGCAGTGCTGCTGGGCCATTTGAAAAAGGTCCTGAACCCCACCCGTCAGAGTAGATCCTACAGTTAGGAGACACATAGAGATCACCCGGAGTGTCTGGGTGGACCGAGGTGCCAGTAAGTTTGAGCAGAGCAGAGGCTGCCTGGCTGGACTGTCTTCTTGCTGCTGTTGGCTTTCCTGTTGCATGAACAAGTCTGACTTGGGAGGCACGACTTAGAGCTGTGTGGTGCGCTAGGGTTGGCAGGGCCAGTGCCATTCTGTCCCTCTGCCTCCTCTTACCTCCCCAATTCATATCAACTGTTTATATTTTTAGAAAAAGTATAAAGGTGAAGCAGAGAAAATGCTTTCTAACTATTCCACCGTGGCAGATACTCCTGAAATTCAGAGAATTAAGACGACTCAACGAAACATTAGTACGGTGAGTAGGCGGTACAGAGTATCCCTTTTAGGTCACGCTGGGCACCGTGCATTTTGGAGGTTTTAGGTTTTGCAGTATTTTCATACATACAGAGTGAGCTATTTGTGTTTCATATACACATTATACCCATAAATGGAAAGTAAGTTCGAGCAGTAGTTTAGGTACAGCTGTGTATTCACTGACGTCCATCACATGAGCTCAGGTATGGAATTTTCCAAGTGTGGTAACTGAATGCCACATACAAAATTTTGAATTTGTTTTTGAAAAAATATTTTCAGAGTTTGGGTTTTGAATAGGGATGCCTGAAAAATGATTTTTTCCCCTTCCTATTACTTCCTTAAAATTTTATGTTTTGTAAGGAATGGGTTTCCTCCCTCCTTATCTGACATTTTGCTGATTGTTTGAATATTCTGCCAGGTATATTATGTTTATTTCTTCAAAACGATAAAAGTTCCAAATATTCTCTTGAATTAGTTTGTCATCATTGTTTGGAGTTACAAATTCAAACTGTACATTAGATACAAGTGATAATTAGCTGAATATTAAAGCTTAACTCATGGAAGAAGTCCTAACCTCCTACACAGATTTTACTTTGAAAATGGAGGAATTCATATGAAATCATTTTCTTCCTGCTCTTTGAGTATCCGTGTAGATAACATGTCTACAGATTTATAAGTTCATAGCTAAGTCCTAAAGTTTCGTATTTTTATTTTGAGGAATAATGGGTGCATAACCTTGAATTCTGTTTTAAAATTATAAAAATGGATCATGAGTCAATATCATAATATAGAATTGGCCTGGTCATTTACAGTGAAACAAATGTCTAACTAAAAATATAAATTCTATGAAGCAAGGGCTTCAGGAGTGTTTTCTCCTTCCTGATGAATTAGCAAGCCCAGGCTCTCAGGTGTGTTGGTCAGGCAGCTCTTCGACCTCGACCAGGGGGCCAGGCTGTGCTGAGAAATGGAAAATTCTCTCTGAAAGGGTTAAAAAAAGAGGTTGTTTGGCTCTTGATGCCTGTGATCTGTGATGTCCCTGATTTTAGCCTGCTGAGGAAGACATTTCTCTTCCACCTGCACTGGGGCCCACGGGATCACCCAGTGTCCTGAGGTGGAGTCATTCTGTCCTCACCTGCTTTTTCCCAAATCCCTTTTCTTTTGCTGGAGCCTGCTTCCGACTTTTATTTCACTTTGTGTTTGAAAGGCACAGACGGTGTTGATAGGCCTGGAGAGAGAAGGGCTAGGGGAACCGAATGAGGAAAATAAACTTTGAATTAATGTTGATATTGATAATAGAGCCAATGTTTTCGTGGGCAAGAAGGCATCTTTGCATTTAGAATAGCAGTTGCTGAAAATTTCATGTTATTTTCAAATTAAATGTTAATTTCTTAGTGAGCTTTTGTAATATGTGCTTTGATTTTTCTCTACTCACATGTGACATATATGTATATTTAAAGAATGAAACTCTAGTTTGGCAATTTATATTCTAAAAGCGAATGACCTACAGCCTACTAAGGTGTTGGTCAAGATTTAGAGCCACCATTAGAGGGTTACTTGTATGTTTTGGGGATATGAAACCAAAGTTAGACATTTATGATCATAATGAACTATTTCATTGATTCACATAATGTTGGTAATCATAAATAGAAGCAGTATTCACATTACTATACAACCTGAGAGATGGCCTTTTATAACTGCCGGATCTAGGACTTGAATTCTAATAAGCTTATAGTTCTTTTTCTTCTCTTATAATAAAGGTATTCTATAAAAAGGAAGTAGGAGCTGGCACAGCAGTAAAAGAGACTCCAGAGATTGAACGAGTGAAGAAAAATCAGCAAAATATTAGTTCAGTAAGTTCTCCTTCACATTAATTACTCTTTTCCAGAGCAAACGGGAGCTCAGGAAATGTTCTTCTTTACTCAACAGGCTCCCCTTTTCTTTCATTCTTCAATTTACTGTAATAGGACTTCATCAGAAATCAAAGATCTGACTTTCAGAACGAAAACTATAGCCTTCTGCCTTATGAACTTGAAGCAACATTTCATTTTGCTGTATCAGAGAAAAGAAGACGCAGGCCATTTGAATGAAATCTAGGGTTAGGTTTCATCTTTTTGAATAGAATTTTAACTGTATTAAATTTTGCAGGAAAAGGATACATTTAGTGCCTTTCTGCAACATGGAGACAACTTTACCCTGATAGAATGATCAAAGGCCCCAGAACATTTATTTGGTGGCTTAAAGGAAAGTTATAGACTTAAAAAATATATAGTAGCAATTCACTTTTACCCTGTATCGGTTACATTGCTGAGGTTTCTCTTAGATGTATTCCTTCTTATATTTCTGTTTTCTGTCCCCATTTATCATTTACTTCTTTCATCGATGAAAAATGCATGTTTTTACTAGAAATTGTAAGATAACCTACTCTTTAGTTACTTTTGAACTGAGGGAAGGGTAGAAGAGGGGGTTAAGGTTAGAAAGAACAGTCCTTCAATTCAAGGCTTCACACTGTTCTCCATACCAATAGCTGCTCTTCCATATGTGTTTAGAATCCTTTCTTGTTGAGGAAGTGAAAATGATTCTTCCTTAAATCTCCGCCCTGACCTATCTCATCCCGTCGCCCATGGAGACAGTACTTTCCAGAGCTTTCCTTCAGGGGATGCAAGTAGAACTGCTCAAGCTGCTCCTCTGAGGCCAACCCTGATGGCCTCTTGCGAAAATGAGTGTATGCCTGCATTTATGGAGACGTGCAGGTGGGGCCAGGTGATGCTACAGTAAAATGGTTTAAAATGAAATTACAAGAATTTGTTTGTTTCCTTCAGTTCCAAGTGATAATATTTGAAACATATCTGTCAGTACATAAATGTTCTGCAGTGTAAAATTATGAGTTCTGTTTGTTTCTTTCACTTCTGAGTGATAATATTTGAAACATACCTGTCAGTATATAAATGTTCCATCTCTTAGATATAAATGCTCTACAGTGTGCATTTCTGCAGCCTACACTGAAATAACTGGACCATCTTGATTAGTTCAGGATTTTTGAAAAACACAAATGTTCATCTTTAATCATCTTGTGCCTCCTACCCGAGGAAAATCACACAAAGCAGCCCAGCATACCATTTTTTCTCCCAGCATCCTACAGCCTCTTCTAGCAAACAGTAAATGCCCAGTTCTGTATCTTTGAGGGTCAACCATAAATGCCTGTTTAGTATTCAAATGGAAAGTTGCCCTTTTGAAGATTAGGCAGATCTGTCAAACCAAGAAGTGATTTGCTAACATTTAAACATCTCGGCATTTTCCACGTCTGGGAACAGGCCGTTCTGCTATTAGCTCTCTCTGCTGAGAGCTGGTTTGGAGTTTTATTTAGAGGAACCCTGTCTCAGTTTCAATTTAACTATTCTGGATGCGGACTAGTACAGCCCTGGCATTGTTACTTATATTAAACTCTCAGTTCTTGAGGTGTAGTTGATATCTGAGATGTTGAGGCTTTATGACAAGCAGTGTAGATGTCAGCGTTACTCATTGTAAGCATTTTCAAGTGATTTCTAAAACATGCAGATTTAAGTCTTTGCTAAATTTTAGCATGTGCCCATTAAGTCTAGTATGTGTGCTTTTTTCTCTGAGGGGATCTTCTGTGAGTTGTAGATGTGTGAGCAAACCACCTGAAATGATGACCTCATTAATTATGTGGAAAAGCCAAAGAGCTGCTTCTTGTCTGATCCTGTGTGTGACAGTGTGGTGGCATGGTCACTTGTCCAGTTGATCTTCCTCTAAACAGACTTACAGGGAGGTCAGGGTGGAGTGGGCGCCGGGACACAGGAATGCTCTGCTCTACCTAGCAGGGTTGTGTGGGTTGAAGACACTTGTGACTGTAGTGTGCACCTTCCATGCAGTGGTCGGGATGTGCGGACTGTACTTTCAGTCCATTTTTCCCAAATCCACCTTTCTCTTATTTGTGGTCACTCCAATTTCTTTTCTTATTATAGATGATTGGTGTATGCTGAGACAAACAACAGTCCCATGAATGTATGATTATTTCAATTTGTGACTTTTGTCCCTAATTAATATATTAATAGAAACTGCTTTTCAGATAGGAAACAAACCATTACTTTAAGAGGATATCCAAGGTTTTTTATGCATTTGCCTAATGATGAAATCTATGTTCATAATAGGCAACATTTGCTTACTTTAATTAAATTTCTCTTCTAGTTATGAGCAGGTGAATAGATACAAATTTATTTGCACTTCAGGATAAAGAAATCCTGAAAGCATCAGAAAAAATAAATTTTGTTCCCATTGAAGGAAAATCAGTGTTAGCATTTTAAAATTTTCATTATGCAATAGTTACTAATGAAGGAATTCATAACATTAAAAGCTGTAAGTAGGCTATAGTTAACGTATTTTTATAAACTATTGAAGTGAAATACAAAGAAGAGATTAAACATGCAACAGCTTTTTATGATCCTCCAAAGCTATAGAGAATTAGACAAAACCGAGGAATATCAGTAATATGATAATTTTTCCTTAGGCGTTTTTTTCTATTTTAGTGAATACCAATATGATAGGAGGGCAGTTGCCCAGGTAAAATCCCATTACAGTGGAGACCACTGTAAGGGTCGTCCTTGTATGTGGAGATGTCTCACCCGTCTTTATTTATGTTCTTCTCCATTACACCCAGCCAGTGCTTCATGGGTATTTGTTGTTGAATGTCTACTCTCTCCTTGTTCTTAGAAGAATTAAAAACTGTAGTGTTTGTGCCTGTGAGCATTCTCAAGATCTCCAGGAGAAACAGACATGGAATGAGTAACTGTCATGCATTGTTTAAGTGCCATTACAGTAGTTAGCAGTGTTCTCTGTGCTTTTTGAAGTATTTTTCAAGTTTGTATCTTGCTACAAGCACTTGTTTAGTTACAAGTACTATTACCTGTTGTGAAGTGCTGTGGTTTAATGGCAGAGAATGGCTGTGCTGGGGAAGAGGAAGAGAACTGGAGGAGTAACATGGGCATTAGGTCTTGAGGGATTCATAATCGCTTGGGTTGAATTTTATGAGGAAGGACTTTCCTGGCAGAGCGAACTGAATATGTGCAGGATCCACAGCCTGCTCAGAAGGAAAAGATTTATGTGATGAGTACCTGGGGAGAGGTGGCAGGAGATGATAGTGTGGGAAGCTGAGACACAGATCAAAAAGGTGTAGTGTGGAGTCCCTCAGGCTCACCACTAGGATGTTTGAGAAGACGTGGCCCTGTCAGTGCTCAGTCCTTGACTTAGTGATTTCATTGTTTTAATGTATGTCTTCTTTTATAAGAAAGGTTACTAGGCTTCAATGGGGTGGAAATTTGTACTTCATTGAAATAACTCTGTGAAAATAATAGTTCATTTAATGAAAAGGTTAAATAACAGCCCATCTGTTGTAGCACATGGAATTCAGTGTGCCAATGGCAGAAATATGGGAACTTTTGAAAACAGTGGAGTGGTGGAAAGTAGTATATATCCTCAACTGTTGGTTGCTGTGGTCCCCGGGCCTTCCTTGTTTAATCTTTCTAAGCCACCAACCTCTGGAAACTCCAAATCCTCATCTATAAAACAGGGCTTAGAGTGTGAAAGAGACATTTCCTGTAGGGGTCTGTGAGTGGAGTATTGCATGATATGAAGATTCTGTCTTTCAAATTGATGGCCCCAGGTTTATATCTGCTAAAAACTGGTTACAAGATTTTCGCTATCAGTGATGCCATTCAAGATTTCTCCTTCTGAGTTCTCACTAGAGAATTGTCTTAGCTGCTTTTCTCATTACTGAGACAAAAGTGCTCAACACCTGAAGTTGAGGGAGGAAAGGTTTATTTAGCTCAAGTTTGTAGACCTTTCAGCTCATAACTGGGTGGCTCCAAGGCAGGGTGGCACATGGCAGAAGGGCAACCATTCATAATGGCAGAAGACAGCAAAATAACAAGAGACCTTAAACCATCTTTCTGCCCCACTTACCTTATACAGACTTCTGGGATTAGAGCAGGGCCAAACCAATCAGTGGACTGATTTAGTAATCATACTCTTAATCCTACCATTACACCCTCTAAATTCAGCCACCTCTGAAAAAGCCATATGACTGCATGTGGCTTTGGGGGGACATCTAGACACAAGCCACAACACAAATCTTTCCTTGTGTCTTGCTTCCACTAGTGATTAAATTGAAATTTCTCCTCACTTTAACTCAGTCATCTCAGTCACAAGGGTAAAGAATGGCACAAGGCAGAGACTAGCTAAGACTACTGGATTTGTGTAAAGGCAACATGGTGTGGAATTCATTGTGCCTGAGTGCAGGCAGACAGAGAGCGAAAAGTTCATCTGTAGGGAGCAAAGAGAAGCAGGCTTTTTTTTTTTTAATAGGGCTTGAAAGAAGGCAAAGGGACATTCGGTGGGAGGATCTCAGTAAAGCTTAATGGTCAAACTTCCCTGGATGTTTTATGCCTCAATGGGCAATGCCCTTGGGGTGTCCAGTGTCAGTGTTTGGGTGTCTTCAGATATCTTGGTGTTTTGGAAGATTCCATGCTCCATCTTCTCTCTGGTATGACATCCCGTGCTTGCCCAGAGCACTGATGCTGAGCTGAGAATAATACCTCTGCTGGCAGACAGGTTAGATACTGAGAGAGTCATGTTTGAATCAAGCCTTACAACAAGAATCTCTCTAAACTGGGTATCATGGCTTATGCCTATAATTCTAGAACTCTGGGAGGCTGATGCAGGCGAATTGCAAGTTTGAGCCCAGTCTGCGCAATTCAGTGACCTATTGAGACCTTGTCTCAAAATAAATTAAACATTAAAAAAAAGGGCTGAGGATGTAGCTCAGTGTGAAGATACTGAGTTTAATCTCGAGTACACCTAAACTAAATAAATAAACCTGCAAACAATTTACCTGGTCTCTCAAATTTGACATACCATTGCACAAAGAAAGTCTCTCATTCAAGGTGGAGCTTACCTAGAAAGAAGCCCATCCCTTCCTGTTCATTTTCCAGGCCTCTCTTCATTTGCATATTTACTACTAAGAACATGCATTTCAAGTCCATGTTATTTGCAAGTCCTTAACATCAAGTTTGAATTCTAAAAATTCTAAAAAAAAAAAAAAGCATGATTGTGTTCGCCCTGCGAAGTTCCTTGCAGTGGGACTTTGACTGTAGCTCTACTTTTGCTCATCTAAGTTGATTTGACAGACTTGGCCACATGCCATACTCTTTCTCCAGGTCCAGTGCTCCTAAGTGGAATCACTTTCTCACTCCACTCTCTCACTCTCTGGGAAAGCCAACTACAAACCGCGGAGTGTGATTCTCTTTGGCTAAAAAGGACACTCGGTGCATAGGCTGGGAATGTCCGTAATTCTGGGTCAGAGGGCAGGCACTCCAGGGCTGGAACTTAGAGAAACACTGAGCTTCATGGTATCTTTAACGGTGATAAAGTGCTACTGAGTTGGAGGCAGAGCTAACTCTTCTTCCCAATTATAAGAGAGAAAAATTATTTTATCTATAAAATGATAATTTAACAAACACTGCTTCAATTCTAAGAAGGGAATTCACAGAGGGGATAGTTCTTTATGACTGTTAAGCTCAAACTCAGCGAGGCCACCAACAAATGACGCAGTTTGAAAAATAACCATGGAGGGTATCATTTAAACACTTGACAAGGACAAGCTGAGCCATTGGTGTCCCTGGGAAGATGAAATCTATTTGCCATCCATATTCCATTGTTAAATCCTAGTGTATATTCCGCTGATGACCGCTCTGTGGCCATGTGACATTTCTTTCCATCTATTCCCATGTGTCAGTAATGTTCATTTCTTATAACTCCAGCCTTCCTCCCATCTTGTCCCCCAGCTCCAGTATAAAGAACAAAACTATAAGGCCACACCGGTAAGCATGACCCCAGAGATAGAGAGAGTGAGGAGAAACCAGGAGCAGCTGAGTGCGGCAAGTACATTTTTTAAAATTTTACCTAAAATTGTACATTTTTAGTTTTTAAAAATGCTTTTCGATAAGCTGTAAAACCTCCAGAAATCTGAATCCTCCTTTTGGTATTCACTTATTGAAGAGCAAGACCTGTGACTAATCACTCTGGCCCAGGAGTCTGTGACAGTGGTTGCTATGGCTTAGCCATGTATTCAGAAGTTCTTCCATGAGCACCTACATGGTCAGGTATTGTCTAGATGGTCATTGGGACAAAAAGTGGACAAAGACCCATTCTGGCCTCATGAACCTCATAGTTTATTGGTAAACTTCTAGAAGTATGTTCAGATTAGAATCTAGAGAGAGGAATCTCTTACCCATTGAGGCAGAAAAAAAAGTATTTGTTGGAATAGGACAAGAGAAGATCTGGCTTGATTGGCATTTGAAGATACGTAGCATCTGAAAAAGAACCTTATAAATAAAATGGAAAACATTAATGAATCAATGATGTATTGCTAAAAAAGCCATGCTAGTTAATAATTACGTGCACTTCTACGAGGCGCTGGGCTTAGTGCTCGTTTTGTATGAACCCCCAAGTTCAATTCTGCTCATCTCTCCTGGGTCAGTGTGGGTAACACAGTCACAGCAAATGCCAGGAATCCACAACTGGTAAGGGTAGAGCTGGGATTTGACTCAGGCCTCCTGGAATCATGAAATTATTTTATGCTGTTCCCAGACAGTTATTTTTCTCATTTTGTGACTCTTTTATGGAGCTTTTTCTTTTCTTTTCTTTTTTATTTTAAAGAGAATAAAACCAAGCAAGACAAAACAGAATAAAGGCAACCGAAACAAACCAGAATAAAGCCAACCAAAACAAACCGACACAGAGCTTCAAAACAATACGAAATCAACACTGATTCCCATAATGCCCCTTGCTATCTTCAAAATAGCTGCAGATACCTTCAGACATAGTAAAAATCAAACAAAACAGAACAGAACAAAACCAGTAAAAACAAAACAATAAATACAATAAAAGACTTCAGAACAAGACAATAGTAAATCCAAAATGGCTACCGTAGTGTATCTTGTTACCTTTGAAATAGCTATCCATGCCATTGGATATAGCAAAATAAAACAAAATAAAAATCAACCCAATAAAACAATGAAAATGATTCAGGACTTCAAGATAAGATGATAGGGAATTGACAATGGCTACCAACCTCAGAAGGAGATCCCCCCTAGATGCGCATTGTTACCATCTGACCAGATGAGCAGATTACTGGCTTTAGACCTGCAAAGCCAGTGAAACATTAAACACTACAAGCGTTAAACTGTATTCTGCCTCAGCAGCTATCATCACAGCCTGTGTTTCTCCAGATCAGCTGGTCACTCATTGGGTGAGGGGGCAGGATGGTTGGGTCTTCTTGTTTCCCAGCTCCAGCACTGGAAGGGGCTGGTGTGTAGCTCTTTCCCTGAGGCTCGCATATGGTGTTGATTCATTATACAGCTTTAAAAAATAAATAAATAAAATCTTTTCTTCCAAAACAGTTAATTTTGAAAGTCTTTAAAACTTAAGAATAAATCCTGCTTCTGGGCATTTTCCCAGAAGAATTCAAAGTATCATACTACAGTGATATATGTGCACAATTTGTAATAGCCAAATCTTGGAAACAACCCAAGTGCCTATCAGTTGAAGAATGGATAAAAAAGATGTGGTATGTTTGTATAATGGTGTACTACTCAGGTGTAAAGAAAGTTGCATGAGCCTTTTTTAAGTAAATGGATACAATTTGAGATCATACTCATAAGTGAAATAAATTAAACACATATGTGTGAATACCATATTGGCTCCCTAGTGTAAGAATCTGACAGAGCAAATATGATCCAAAATCTACAATAAATATTGTGCAAGGGTAAGAAACTGCTCAAAGAGGAAAAGTAACTGGGATAGGGGAAAGGCAAAAGGAGGAAGGGAAAAGGAAAAAGACATAAATTTTTATCTATATACATAAGACAGCTAAGATGACTACACTACTAATTGTATTAGTTGTTGGAAATGAACAGTTAATACTCATATGATTAGATCAATTTTACATGTCTGTATCTGGTATTCTAAGCAACTCTTTTGAAGGTAACAATATGCAATATTACAATCATTGTTAAATTCCTATCAACTTGTTTTGAAAACCTATATTGTTATTGTTTTGGGTTTGTTTGTTTCTTTTGCTTTTTGTTTTTCTTTTCTATGTGTTTTTTTCTCTTAAATTAAAAAAAAGAAAAAAAAGAAAGAAACTTAGGAGCCGTTCCTTCCAGATGGAGGAGAGGATCCGCTCCACATTGCTTACCCGTTAATGTCCCTGGAAGGTGAAAGAAGTCACAGACCTTTGGAAAGTGCAGCCCTAGGGTCAGAGGGCGGAAACAAGACCTCCTGGACTGCCATGTGGATTTTATTATAGTTTCATCCTCATGATTGGTTCTGCTATTTGTTTTCAGCATACTTCGATAGATTTCTGTTGTAGGTTATTTGTGTAATTTGCAAGTTGAACGTTAAACAGCTGAATACTCTTTTTTAAACAGCACAATCAACAGTTAACATTTGTTAAATCAGAATAATCAAAATCTAGGTGTTGATACCAATAGGAAGATTGATGTAGAGCTATTGTGATAAAATGTATACAAGAGAATGAGGCTCACATTTTGTGTTTTTTTTTTTTTTTTTTTTTTTTTAAACTCACGTCTGCTCTGCTGTCTGCTAAAATTCTTTTTGTCCTCCATAGGTCAAATACAAAGAAGAGATTAAACAGGCAACGCCCATTTCTGACCCCCCAGAGCTGAAGAGAGTGAAAGCAAACCAGAAGAATATCAGCAATGTGTGCTCATCTTAGTAACTTTTTCTGTTGCTAGCAAATGTAGAGTCAGTATGTAGAGGCAGGGATTGTTTTACAACATTTCCTCAAGTGCGAGTCCATATTTCTGACCTCACTTGATTAATAAGCATCTGGGGTGTTGGGAATTGCCAGGTTCCCAGCTCGCACCTTAGGGATTGTTTTCCCTACAGCCTTTTGTCTATCTTAGAGCTGATAACTGCTTGGTGCCCCCTGGGAAGCCTCTGTCTTTGGGATCCTCCAACCAAGCTTTCCTACTCTGCTTTCTAGAGTAGGAAAGTGCAGGTGTTCTTGTTCCCCAGTGCCTCCCAACCCTGCCTCCCACCCACAGTGATGATTACTATATTTCTGGGCAATGTTTATGTGGTTAAATAGCTTATATGAAGAAGCAGAGCCAATTTATGGGTACTGGATGGAGGTTGTCAGTTTGTTCCTAGACACTGACCTGTGCTTGCTATAATTCTTTTGTTTACATAATCCCGGGTGCAATTTGTTGTGACTCCTTTTTGGCAATCATTAACATACAGATTGGGTTGTTTATTTGAAAATTTATTCATTTCAAAGGAATCACTTGTGCTTCAAATATTTCATTTGGCCAGTTTATGAAGTACATGCAGATTATCATTTGTTACTTTTTCCAACAATTTGTTTTGGAGGAGTAGATGTCATCTTTTCCCAGTGGCTCTAAAGTCATGCTGAGACTCTGTTGCTCTCAAAAATGAACACACTTACAAAGAAAGAGGAATGAGTGGTGAGAAGCATGCTGGTGGCTTTGCGGGGACTGTGGTCACCATTTAAAATAGTTCTGTCACAGCTAATTACTAAGAAACTACAGCTGTGCGGTTTCCCTCTATGAACAAGAGGGCCTGTGAGTAATATCTGTGAAGGCGTTTCTCCTCATATTCCTCTGCAGTGAAGGCTTTCTACAGGTTTATCGACAGTACACCCGGACATTTGAGAACATCTGCAGAGATTCAGAAAAAGACATTGTTCTGGGATGAAATGAAGTAGATGCTGTAAGATACAAACATTTTAAATATGATTGGACCTCCCAAAGTGTCCTCTTTTTAAAACAGTTTCCCTTCCTTGGATAACTTTTTAAAAATAAATACTGTGAGGTTCTTATTTGGTTGAATTGATTCATAGTTCTCTACCTTTCGTTTTCTGCGATGATAGGTTTATTATAAAGGTCAGCTGGGACGAGCTACAGCTTTAAGTATAACTCCTGAAATGGAAAGAGTGAAGAAGAATCAGGAAAACATTAGCTCGGCAAGTGGTTTTATTTATTTTGGACAATCACAAAGGACGTGCCCTTTATAATACACTTGTAGTCCTGTTTTTCCTTTATGAGAATAAACCTGTGATATTTTCAGTAAATACATGTGTTATTTCAGATGATTTCCCAAAGTTACCACTGTATAAATTTATATTATTCTGCATCCCTTCAGAGGGTCCAGATGTGACTGATACATTTAAAGTTTATTTAAGCAATGACTTGTGTTACTTTAGCCAGTATTTTTGAAAATGATGAAGTCTCTTTGGTACATAAGTTAAATAATTGTCATTTTATTCCTGAGTTTCATTGAACATGACTTGTAAAACTTCCTTTGCAAAACAAAATAGGAAATGAGTCATTAATCCAATGTCAGGATTTAGAGGAGAAAAACAAAATATGATATAGAATTGAGTTCCTCATAAAAGTTAGTCATGGTACACGTCAGGGTATTCTTTTTTTTATTTAAAAGGAAAAAGAGACAAAAAACAGAACAAAACAAAACAGTGTAAGGGTACAAGTAATACAGAACTACAAAAAAAAAAAAAGTAAGATATCACCAGTTAATAGATTACACACTATCATCTTAGAGACAGTGGTTCAGGTCACAGGATCAAAGCATACAAAGTGAACATTCAAACAGTGAGACTGCAAACAGTTGTGTTCAGTAATCCATTCAAAAACATTAATATGGTCATCTACTTAAGACACCTAAACACACTTGCTGTTGTATTCTTTAGGGCACTTTTTTTTCCTCTTTATTACAACAAAATTTACACATTTTGGGTTTTATTGCTCCCATAGATCTTATTACTTTTTTTTTTTTTGGAAGAGAATAAAATCAAACATGATGAAACAAAGCTGTCAGTCAAAACCAGGGACAAACATAGCACATGATGTAAAAATAGAGTACAAGGCTATCAACAATGCTTCCTTAAGAAGAATTGTCTATCTCATTAGGTATTATACAGTTGAACAAAACAGTAGAGAACAAGACCAGCAAAACCTAAATATTGCAAACATTACAGAACTTCAAAAGAGGATAATAGTCAAACCAGAATGGGCATCATAGTGAATCTTACTGCCTTCAAAGTAGTTGCCTATACTCTGATACTTGATACTATCATACAGAATGGAACAGAGTCTAATCAGTCAAAACAAGATAGTGGGAGTATTACAGGACTTCAAATCAAGTTAATAGGAAATCAAAAAAGTTACTATATTATATCCTGCTAATTTTTTTATTTTTCCCCTTAGTTTAAAAAAGTAATAAAAAATAATTAAATAATTTTTTTAAAGAATAAGGGAGAGATTGAGATAAAAGAGGGAATAACAACATAGCAATACAGGTTAAAGCATGACAGTTTCAGCAACCTAGTGCTTCACCACCAAATAACCCGACTTAATAGTAGTTACCATAGTGTCTTTTTCCTTGAAATATTTGAATATAACTTCGTATACTATAGCATCAAACATATCAAGACAGTGTAAAACCATTCAAGTGGATGAAAACATTGTAGAGTATTTAGAACCAGCTAACAGAAAAACGAACAATGGTTTCTATATTACCTCTTTGCCTATAACAATTTTTGTTTATACTATCACATATAATAAAATCCAGCAAGATACAATATGATAAAATCAATGGAGACAGAAGAGCCATAGTTTGGTGGGGCTTTAAAACTAGATGGTATTAAATCAGCACTAGCTATTATGATGTCTTATTTTCTTCAAGTTAGCTGTTCATTGCATCACAGGCAATAGTATCAAACAGCCCAGAATAAAGCCATTCCAATTAATGAGTGAAAACTTTATAAGGCTTTAAGGCCACATAATGGGGAATCATGGTTACCACATACTTTTATATATTTGAATCATTTCCTACACTAGGGAAACTATTCAGTATTCACAGATGCGAGTTTGATTTATTTCACTTATGAGTATGGTTTCAAGCTGTGCCCATTAATTGATAAATATCTCAATTTGATCCTCCTTTATAGCTGAGTAGTACTCCATTGTATAGAAATACCATAATTTTTTATCCATTCCTCAGTTGATGGACACTTGGGTTGTTTCCAAGATCTGACAATTAAAAATTGTGCTGTTGTAAACATAGGTGCGCATATATCACTATGATATGATGCTTTCAGTTCTTCTGGGAATATGCCTAGAAGTGAAATAGCTGGAATAAATGGGACTTCCAATCCCAGCTTTTTGAGCAATCTCCAGACTGACCTCCACAAAGGTTGTACCAGTCTACACTCCCACCAACAGTGTAGGAGAGTTCCTTTTTCCCCACAGCCTCTCCAGCATTTGTTGTTGTTAGTTTTCTTGATCCTGGCCTTTCTTTCAGGAGTGAGATGGAATCTCAGTGTGGTTTTAATTTGCATTTCCCTAATGACCAATGATGATGAACATTTTTTTCATGTATTTATTTGCCATTTGTATTTCTTCATCTGAGAAGTGTGTATTCATCTCAGATGCCCATTTTTGGATTGGGTCTTTGAATTTTGGGGATCTGAGTTTTTTTCATTCTTTATATGTTTTAGACAAAAGTCCCTTGTCTGAGGGGGAGTTCACCAAGATCTTTTTCCAGTTTGTGGGTTTTCTTTTCACTATGCTGGAGATTTTTTTTTGACTTGCAGAAACTTTTTAATAAGAGGTAGTCCCAATTATTGATTCTGGGAAGTATTTCCCGTGCAGTTTGAGTGTCCTGTTCATGAATTCTCTACCTACCCCTATGTCTTCAAGGTTTCTACCTAATTTGTCTTCCAATAGATTTAGTGTTTCTGTTTTAATATTAAGATCTTTGATTCATTTAGATTTTAATTTAGTACATGGTGATAGACATGGGTCTAGTTTTAGTTTTCGGCAAATGGAGAGCCAGTTTTTCCAACACCATTTATTAAAGAGACTGTTGTTCTTCCAGTGAACCTGCTTGGCTCCTTTATCAAAGATAAGGTGGTTGAGTGTGTTTGTAGTTGTGGTTGTATCTTCTAATCTATTCTATTGATCTTCGGCTCTGTTTTGATTCCAGTACCATGTTGATTTTACTATGGTTGCTTTGTAGTATAACTTCAAGTCAGGGATTGTGATGCCTCCTGCTTTGCCTTTGCTATTCTAGGGCTCTTTTGGTTCCAGATTAATTTTAGGAGTGATTTCTCTAGATCTATAAGGTATGTTGATGGTATTTTTATTGGGATTGCATTGAATCTGTATAACAGTTTAGGGAGAATGGCCATTTTCACAATGTTTGTTCTTTCTATCCATGAGCATGGGATGTCTTTCCATTTTCTGAGATCATCTTCAGTTTCTTCTTTCAGTGTATTATAAGTTTCCCTGTATAGGTCTTTCACTTCTTTTGAAAGAGTAATTCCTAAATATTTCATTTTTCTTGCTTGCTAGTGTGAAGAGTGTGGCTTCTCTTATTTTTTCTCCCAGTGATTTTGTTGTTAGTGTATAGGAATGCTATTGGTTTCTGAGTATTGATTTTGTATCCAGCTACATTACTGAATTTATTTATTATATCTAAGAGTCTTTCAATGGAGTTTAGGGGGTCTTCTATGTGAAGTATCATGTCATTTGCAAACAATGACAATTTAAACTTCTTCTTTTCCTACCTTTACCCCTTTTATTTCTCTCTCTTGTCTAATTGCTCTGGCTAGTACTTCCAGTACTATATTAAATAGGAGTGGTGATAAAGGACATCCTTGTCTTGTGCCTGATTTTTAAAGTAAAGGCTTTCAACTTTTGGCCATTTAGTATGATACTAGCTGTTGGTTTGTCATAGATGGCCTTTATTATATTGAGGTAAAGACCATCTATTCCAATTTTCTGTAAACTTCTTATCATGAATGAATGTTGGACCTTATCGAAGGCTTTTTCTGCATCTATAGAAATAATCATGTGATTCTTACTTTTGGCCTTATTGGTATGGTGGATTACATTTATTGATTTACGTATGTTGAACCATACCTGGGATGAATCCCACTTGGTCATGGTGTATAATCTTCTTGATGATTTGCTGCATCCTATTTGCCAATATTTTATTGAGGATTTTTGCATCTGTGTTCATTAGGGCGATTGATCCTAGTTCTCTTTTTCACTTGGGTCTTTCTCAGGTTTTGGTACTAGAGTAATATTGCTTTCAGGAATGACTTGGGAAGGATTGCTTCCCTTTCAATTTCATCAAATAGTTTGAGGAGTGTTGGCATTAGGTCTTCTTTGTATTTCCTTTAGAATTCTGCAGTGAATCTGTCTGGGCCTGGGCTCTTCTTTGTAGGTAAGGACTTAATTACATTTTCAATTTCACTAATAGAAATTGGGTTATTCAGCAGTTTTACATCCTCTTGATCTAGCGTTGATACTTCATATGTTTCTAAGAATCTGTCCATTTCTTCTGTGTTATCAAACCTTTGAGAGTATAGGTTTTCAAAATAGGTGTTGATGGTCTTCTGTATTTCTGTAGAGTTTGTAGTGATTTCACCTGTTTCATTTCTTATTGCATGAATTTGAGCTTTTTCCCCCTTTTTTAATAAGGTTTTCTAGGGGCTTATCGATTTTATTTATTCTTTCAAAAAACCAACTCTTTGATTCGTTGATTCTTTGGATTGTTTACTTAGTCTCTATTGCGTTGATTTCTGCTCTGATTTTTATAATTTCCTCTCTTCTTTTGGCTTTGGGCTTGACTTGCTCTTCTTTTTCTAGCTGTTTGAGGTGTAGCATCAGGTTATTTATTTGTATTCGTTCTGTTTTCCTGATGTGGGAACTCAGTGCAATATATTTTCCTCTGAGGACGGCTTTCATTGCATCCCACAGATTCCGGTAAGTTGTATCTGTGTTTTCATTTTCTTGTAGGTATTGCTTAATTTCTTCTTTAATTTCCTCTGTGACCCACTGATTACTCAAGAGCGTGTTATTCAGTTTCCATGTGCTTGTGGGAATTTTGCAGTATCTTTTATCATTAATTTCTGATTTCATAGTACTATGGTCTGATAGATAGCATGCAAGGGATAATTTCAACTCTTTCATATTTATTGAAATATGTTCTGTGAGTTAATATATGATCTATTTTAGAGAATGTCCCATGTACTGCTGAGAAGAATGTGTATTCTGTTGTTGTTGTTGGGTGCAATACTCTGTATATGTCTTTTAAGTCCATTTGTTCACAGGCGTGATTCAGTTCTTTTATTTCTTTGCTGACTTTCTGTCTGGTTGATCTGTCCATTGGTGTCAATGGTGTGTTAAGATCTCCTGTTAGAATTATGTTACTGCTAATTTGGTTTTTCATTTCTGTTAGTAGTTGTTTTATGTAACTGGGTGCTCTGGAGTTTGGTACATATATATTTAAGATAGTTATCTCTTCCTTTTGAAGTTTTCCCCTAACCAGTATGTAGTGACCTTCTTTTTCCCTTCTGATCATTATTGGCTTGAAATTCAGATTATCTGCAAACAGAATAGCTATCCCAGCTTTTTTTTTGGTTCCTGTTGCATGAAGTATTGTTTTGCATCCTTTGACTTTTAGTCTGTGAGTATCCTTTTGGGCTAGATGGGTTTCTTGTAGACAACATATGGTTGGATTTTTGTTTCTTGATCCATTCTGCCAGTCTGTTTCTTTTAATTGGTACATTGAGACCATTTACATTAATGGTTGTAACTGTTATATATTGGTTTATTGTTGACATGTTATCTTTCTGCTGTTGCATCTTTATCTTTCTGTTCTGTTTAATTGTCTGCTTTGTTTAGTGGCTTTTTCCTAAATGTACCTAGGCTGTCTTTCAGTATTCTTTGCAGGGTTGGCTTGGTGATCATGAAGTTTTTCAGCTGATCTTTGTCATGGAAGTATCTTATTTCTCCATCAATTTTGAAGGACAGTTTTGCAGGGTACATCAGCCTAGGTTGGAACTCATTTTCCTTTAGGATCTGAAATACTTCACTCCATGCTCTTCTTGACTTTATTGTGTGTGCTGAGAAGTCTGCTGTGATTCTGATAGGTTTTCCTTTATAGGTGATCTGTCTTTTCTCTCTGACAGCCTTTAAAATTCTATTCTTTTGTTCGATTTCTTAGATGGTCATTATTATATGTCTGAGTGTGGATTTATTTTGGTTATGGCTATTTGGAGTTCTATATGCTTCATTGATCTTGATATCAGTTTCCAATCTCGTGTTTGGGAAATTTTCAGCTATTACTTCTCTAAATATCCTCTTGACATCCTTTATGTTGTCCCCTTCTTTTTCATTTATCCCTATCAAACTTATGTTGTTCTTCTTTGTGTCATCTTGCAGGCATTGAATTGTTATTTCCTGATTTCTTGTTATTTTTAAAAGATCTTTCCTTTCCTGTTCACTTGCTGCAATCTTGTCTTCGAGGTCTGAGATTCTATCTTCACAATCATTGAGGCGGTTTTTACAACTTTTAATGGAGTTTTTGGTTTCCTGTATATCTCTTTGCATCTGTTTTATGTATTCTGTTTGTTTCTTATATTGTTCATCCAGGGACTCTGTCCTTTTGTTTAGTTCCTCCAATTTTTTCACTATGTCTTCTTTAGCTATGTTCAGCATCTCCTTCATTTCTTCTTTTACCTGAGAGATTATTTCTAGTTTGAATTCCTTTAAGGCTTCCCAGAGTTGCTTCTTTATTTCAGTTACTATTATTTCAGGTATTTCAGTTATGTGGCATGTGTTTTCTTCTATACACATGGCTCCTAGGCTTTCTTGGGATGGGCTGGATGTTTGAGATTGCATTTTGGTCTTTCGTTTTGTCATTTTCCTGTATTTTCGAACTTCAAGTGTTGTTCCAAATGTGGGAGAGGGTTCCGCCTGCCTGGGATGGGGTTCCCTGTGGCAGCCCCACTCAGTGGTCCTGGCAGGGAACTGCATGTCAGGGTATTCTTTAGTTAGCAGAATTTCAGCAAAGTTGGGACTTGCATTCTTAATTGTGCAAATGTAATTTAGAACTGCAACAAATGGTCTTCCGATCTTATATGTGATGAGCTTCATGAGAGACAGTGTTCTAGTGATCGGGTGTTGAGAACAGTCTCTGCTTCTGGCATGCTTCCGGACCAGTGTTCAGAGCTTAAGTTCCAGCTCTCGTTTAGCATTTCTGTCTGCAAGGTACTTGGTGTAGTCAGCGTAAAGGACCTCTGTGCTGTGGTTGCTTAAAAGGAAAACTAGATTTATTTCTCATTGTTTCTCATTCTCTAAAGAGGGAAAAATAATTAAAAATAGAGGGGAAGTTGGAATGCACCTTTCAATGTTGTTATAGCAGAAAATGGGAAAATTAGGAATATCAAAGTTGGATTCTACTTAGTTTTGGACATTTCCTGTGTAATTTAAATATGAGAACCAGTTTTACTGACTGCAGGGCTAGTGACTGTTGGATGCACACATTTGTTCTCAGTTGATAAAGAAGATTAAGATACATTCACCATACCTTTAAGGGAGATCTTTGAGAGTACAATTTTAGGTTGGTGTTCTAGAACAAAATGTAATTCCCTGAAAAGTTACCCAGAAAATAACTGGAAAAACTTATCTGGCAAATATTGAATAAGTTTCACTCATTTGGAAAACTTTAAAAAATTATGTTATTTTTAAATTAACCTGTTATAATTATGTCTATTTTTTATTTTGCAGGTAAAATATACCCAGGATCATAAACAGATGAAAGGTAGACCAAGTGTGATTCTAGATACACCTAGTCTGAGACATGTTAAAGAAGCACAAAATCTTATTTCAATGGTAGGGTACAACTACATCATTCTTTTCATGACATAAACGTACTAAGGAACCACAAGACCCAGTGTATTGATGGCTTTAGTTCACTATTAATCTGGACAACTAACAAAGCATGGAAACTTGGATGAACCTTTTGTTTTGTTGTGATTTGTTTTGGGGGGTATGCTTTCTAATCACTCTGAAATGTAATGAAATTATTTAGTTTAATAAAATAATTTTTCTCTGTGACTTTTTTGGTGTGTTTTTATTTCTAATATGATTACTATAAATGTATTTTGTGAAGATATTTGACCAGAATTCTTTCCAATTAACTTTAAGACAGACTTTGGTATATTTGCATGTTGTAAAAATATGAAAAATACATTTTAAAAATACTTTCATGAGACCTAAGTTACCTATCATAAACTTCACTGTTTAAAGTATATGATTCAATGTAAATGAATAGTATAAGTTACAGATTGTTACAACTGTTACCCTGATCTTGTTTTAAAATGTGAGAAAATTGTATATTTTACAGTACCTATAGGTTTTTGTAATAACATACTAAAATTTTGTATGTCCTTACCTATGCCTCTCAATCTAATTTTAAGTAAATTGCTTTGAATAATTATAGATAAGTGCTTATTACTTTATTGTATATTGAAGGTTAATAGATAGGAAGTTAATTTGTAGTTAAATTAGCATATTCTAGTATGTAACCAAGATTTTAAACAGTTTTTCTTTTATGAGTTTCTTTTTATATATAATTTAAAAAGAAATATCATAATGATTACAAGCATGGTGAAAATGTTAGCACTTGCTCTAACAAATTGTTTTGGGATAACTGGAAAAGATACTTACATGCAGAAAGTCATATAGATGCACCTGTCATTTTATCAAATTGTGTAACACAAGTACCAACTAGAAAATTTCAGTTTGAGTTAATGCATTGTTTTTCTTTTTCAGGTAAAATATCATGAAGATTTTGAGAAGACGAAGGGGAGGGGCTTTACTCCTGTTGTGGATGACCCTGTGACAGAGCGTGTGAGGAAGAACACCCAGGTCGTCAGCGATGCCGCCTACAAGGGGGTCCAGCCCCACGTGGTGGAAATGGACAGGAGACCTGGAATCATTGTTGGTAAGCAAGTGGTCCAACTGTGGTGGTCCTTTTGGGTAGCAGACATGGCCAGCAGGATTGTGCTTGCTCTTACTCTAGATCAACTTACTCCTGATCAGATATTTGGTGTGGTGCTCAATTCCAGTGGACGACAGATAAAGTGTTGTTTTGGTACCATGTTGAATGACATTCATGGCATTTACCAGGTATCGTGCAGATATTCTATTCTCAGAAGTCCTCTGTGCTTAATATCTTTCTAGTCTTAAGCATATTTGGACTTGTTAAAGGAGTAGCTTAGAGCTAGGTGATCACAATGGTGGAACAATTATTTTGTTTTTCTTTAGTTTCATTATTTAGCTAAAGTGTTATGCCATAGACATCATGTGCATTGGTGAAGAAATGCGTCACAGTTAGTTCCTTTTACCACAAGTAGACCTGCCAGAGAGATTCTGACAGTACTTCATACAATGAACCACTTTTTAAAAATACTGTTTCTCAGCTGGAAAATTGATAACATATAGAGCCCCTTTCCCTTCTTGTTACTCTCTGTTCCTTATAGTCCTGGGAAAATGCTGCTGACTGTGGTCAAGATAGAGCCAAGAAGGAAAATTAGTGGTTTCTCAGTAATACCAGTAACCCTCGACTGTTGCCTCCTTCAGAGCAATTAGTCCTATAGCTACTCCAGCTACGTAGCTTGAAGAATATTTTTTGGTAACCCTGGTATACACTCTCACTAAATTCAGTGTTAGATTTCCTTCATCTTGTGTGGTTTGGAATAGTACCAGTGAAAGGCCATTTAGAGGTGAATTAGATGGGGAAGCATATATTTGACAGAGTAATGTCAGTCACAACAAGAATGCTAATGTCAGAGTACTAAGTGACTTGAATGATTACGAGTGACTCTGAATGTATTTTAATTTTATTTTAAAAGGAATAAAACTGAACAAAATAAAACAGAATAAAGCCAATCAAAACAAAACAGTGAAAGTCATACAGGACTTCAAAACAGGATAATAGGAAATCAGCAATGGCTACCATAATGCCTCTTATTATCCTCAAAATAGCTGTTCATACCATTAGATATAATAAAATCAAACAACACAGAAAAGAATAAAACCAATCAAAACAGAACATTGAATAAAATAAAACAATAAAGTGAAAGAAGACAGAATGATGTTGAATTTCAAAAATAAGACAGAAGGAAATCTTTCCTAGTTGCTATATTGCACATTGTTATTCTCTTAATAGATGCTCAGACCACCAGCTTTAGAAATGCAAAACCAACCAAACAATGCAAGTATTAATTTGTTTTTGTACCTCAGTTGCTATCAACTCAGCCTGTGTTCCTCCAAATCAGCTGGTTGCTTATCTGGGTGTGGGGAGTGGGGGTGAGTTCTTATTTCCCCAGCCTGCACACAGATTGACTCATGGAAAGGGTGAATTGGCTTCTTGTTTCTCCTCCAGGGCCCCACATGGCTTCTACCAGCTCCCAGGAAGGGCAAATATGCTTCATATTTCTCCTCCTGGGCTCCACATTCTGAATGTATTTACAAAGAAAGAATCCAAATATATTTGTTGGCAATTGATAGTTTTGCTTATCTTCCCAAGTTGATTACTTAAAAAGATCACATTCAGTTGTATGGATGAATCATGTTGTTTTCCTTAAAAAGCTACACAGAAGTAGAGCATTTCATTGCTGGGAGCTAAGGTGTCACAGGACAGTATGAAGGTCCAATTCATTTCATTAAGGATCATGACAACTTACCCAAGGACAAGGATCAGAGGTTAGTCATGGTGCTGAGACCATTGCCGAAACCCACAGAACTTTCTAGACAGTGTGTCTCAGATTCAGTACTTATCATCTTTGAGATTACTATTTTTCAAAGAATAATCAGTTTTCTTTGGAGACTTGTCGGAGAAGGTACAAAATGAAGCACATTCAATGAACCTTAAATTCTCTAATGAACCCGCTTTGGTATCAGATGTGGAAGTGTAAATTTACAGATTTTCTAAGCAACACAGGCAAGACAAATTGTGCTGCTTTGGTTTTTGTTCGAGATGTTGCTACTTACTAGTCAGGTAACCTTGGGTAAGTTTGGCCAAAATATTGACTCTCACTATACCTCAGTTTCTTCATCCATGAAGTAGGGAAAATAATAATATCTACTTTAATATGTGTTAAGCATAAATGAGTTAGATTATAATGCATATAATAAATGCTGCATCATATTAGTTAAAAACAGACACGCAAATCTCCAGTTTCAGTTTACTAATTAATTATTTTCTATTTTGTCTTATTTCTGCTATTTGTCCATTATAAAGTTCTTATTTTCCAGTTGTACAGCACTATGCTGCTCATTATAGATCCTGATACCCACTAGTAGGGGTGACTGATGAATTGAGAAATTATCAAATTGGATTTCTGTCTCTAGCTACAATAGGAGGATACACTGGTTTACATTGTTTGTATAGGTTGACTTTCTGTTGCTGTGACAAATATCTGAGAAAATCCCTAAAAGGAAGGAATAGGTTGTAAGGTTCCAGAAGTTTCAGTCCATGGTTGATTGACTCAGTTACTTTGGACCTGTGCAGCACAGGCTATCATGTGATATAGGAAGACTGTCATGGCAAAAACAGAAAGCAAAATAAGGACTGGGGTACCCCCCAAAAATGATCTGACTTCCTTTCACTGTGCTTCCTAAAGATTGCACTATCTCACTCACAGTAGCACCACAGGCTGGCCACCGAACCTTTACCATGAGCCTCCAGGAGACTCTTCAGATCCTGATGGCAGCAGCAGTCTCTGATTACTGACTACAGCAGTGAACTGATCTGTGGCCCATTCAGAGTGGGCATCTGCTCCTACCCTTCATTCCATCCCTCACCCTTCCTTGCTGGATGCCTCACTGTCAGGAATTTTTTGATAAATGTCTTCGGTGGCTTCATTTGCTGATGCTCTCGGAAAGAAAATCGGGCTCTCCGTGTGCCCACATTTCCAATATTTGTTCCTGTTAATAGGGAGATAAGGTTCTTATTTGCTTTGCTTTAAATAACTGTTTCTTGGTTATTTTCTGTGACAAATGTGCTTCTAATCAGGAACTTTTATCAAGCACTTTGCACACTTCAGGGGATGGAGAGCAGGAGGTTGGGTGTCCCAGGGGTGCCACAGGGCTGTAGAAGTTGACTCATTAGGCACATGTCGCATATGACGAGCTCTGGGTACTTCAGCAGAGCTTGGCATGGCAGCTCAAGGAACCAGGCAATTCAAATTTGATATTAAGTTTTCATAACAGGTGTTCTCTTCTGAATTTCATAGCGTGGTAGGTTTGCTTGTTGTATTTTTGCCTTTTGCTTGACTCTCTTTGGTACTGATTTTTTAAGAGCTCTGTCTCATTTGTTGATTTTTTCCTTTTGGTGAAAGACCTCAAAGTTTGGCGCACGGATCCTGGTTCCATCTTCGACATTGATCCCCTGGAAGACAATATTCAGTCTAGGAGTCTGCATATGCTCTCCGGTATTGCTTAGATTTTGAGTTCCTCTCCTTTTGTTCTAAAGGTGGAACTACTATGATATATTGGAGTTCACTGTGGCAATCATGCAATGTAAATTTTAAAATTGAGGAATAGAAAAATCAGAAAGGTACTAGGCCACTTTAAAATACCATTAATTGTTTATGAAAGCAAAGCTTACAAAAGAGTTTTATATTAAGTCCTAGATTAGTTTGTCACATATGCATTTAATAAGATATGTAGAGCTTACTTGCCTTTGCTTTTTATTAGTGAATATGATTTTATAGGCTTTCTTGGTTTACAAATGCATTTATTTGAATTGCACTAAGCTTCTGGAACATAAAGGAGATTTGTTTACTGAAACACAGTGTAATAATATTTTCAAGATAGACTCAAAGAATTATATAGTGAGCAGTAAAAAAGTTTTCTGTACAGCATCATTAATGTCTTAAAATGAAATAAAATTAAAATATTTAAAATTATTTTTGAGTTTTTATAAAATGAACAGTTTCTAAAGGAAGCATGTATGACTTCTAACTGAATGTGTATGAATAGTTTGGGTAAAGTGATGACATGATTCACCATTTCAGACTTTCAGACTATCTTTTGAAAATAAGGTCTGAAAAAGTTTTGATACTTACATAGTTCTTTTAAATGATATAAATAATGTAGATATATAATACTACTGAATTCTTGTTCTACCTTCTGATTTTTCTCTTTTTAATTATTAATAAAACTGAATGCCCAAAGCAGAGATTCTAATACTTTAATTTGATCCACATAGCCAAATTGTGTAATTTTCTAAAAATAAGAAAAGACAACAAATACTGTATATGTGTTGACACTTGGAAGAAATTATTTAATAACCAGATGCCTCAATTGTTAGGAGGACTGAGTTTGCTAATGTTTCTATGATTTTTGCCAATTTCTTACCCTCTAGTCTCTCCATTAAAATTTAGATTTTAAAAGTGTTAAGTAACCTTTTAAATCACTCCCAAATGCATGCTGAAGTTTGGAAGGAGGCAGCGAGAACCTTATAATAGATAAGATCTGGTGTTATTCTTTAATAAGGAATTATTTTTCCAGCCACTTAATCATGTCTGAACGTTTTCCCTCTCGTCTAGAAAAGGCGAGTCTCTACAGGAGACACCGCTCTCGATCTCATTCCAGCAGTACCTTTGGTACAGGTCTGGGAGATGACAAGTCAGAAGTCTCCGAGCTTTACCGTAGCATTTCATGCTGCAGTGAGCTAACAAGAGCGTCCGATGAAGGAGGTATCAGACTGTAGCCACTCACAAAGAATATAAATTCATTTTTAAGTGTGCCTGCCACAGGAGTGTCTTTAACCTATTTTCCACCTTTGCACAAACATTCAGCCTGGGTGTGTTTAAAATTTTAATAGTAAGTTTAAAAAAATAAGAATTTCTTAAACTACTAATTTGCATTTTTGCATGTTTTTTTCCCCTGTCTTCACTGTGGTCACTTCAAGTGCATCTGTACTAACGGAAGGGCTTGTGAACTTGTTATGAGCACTGTTTTGCAGTCGTATGCGGTGGAGCCACACAGTGACAGTGGAAACTTGAATTCTGTGTAGTTTGTGTATGATTTCCTCTAAGGACCAGAAATTCTTACCTTATGGTAACATTTGAGTGGCCAAGAGGTTGTTATGACTTGGTGAGTGTTTAAACATTGATATAAATTTACAAACAGAGTTAGGTCTTGCCACAAAGAAAGTGAATGTGATACTTGTGATATGAGATTTTTTTAAAAGGGGAAATACTGTTGATTGGTGATATTCTTTTATTTATCCACTCTTTTCTGCACCGTCACCTCTCTTCTGCATTCAAGCTTATGGATTAGATCTAGCACAGTCAGTGAATTTCTGCAGGATGCTAGCTGAACTGGTATTAAAGTTGTGAGTCCATTGTGGTGCGACAGGGGGCGACAGGGGGCGACAGGACAGAAGGGCATAGGAACAACAGGAGTACGGAATTTCGTCCACTCAAAGGTCACATTGCTGAAATTCCTAAAGCCTGACACCTCAAGGTTAAGAAACTTAACACTTGGAGACGAAAATGTTCCTTGAAGACGAGGAAACTATGAAAACTCTTGTAATTCTATAATCATTTTTCTGATTCATTGCAATTGCTTGCGAATAAGCATAACATCAGTTATCTTCTGTACATTTTGAACTATGAGAATTTCTGCATGTTTTGAGTTTTGACTGGCCTTGGATGATACAAGGTTTTTAAGGGTTTCTTTTCTCTAATTCTAATCCTAAAGAAAGAGTTATAAACTAGTTTGGCTTTATTGTAGGTAAAATATAGACAGAAAGACCTTTCCTTCTGAGTCTGGTTATCTAATGAAGGGTTTAGTAATTTAGGGCTTTTAAATTTGGGATTACTGATTCATTTCTTCCTTTACAGTCCCTCTGGATGTACAGAATAATCTTAATGCTTCATGAGGTAAATAGGTGCAAAGCACTAAGCTTGTTAACCTTATTTAGTATTACACAGTTGAGTGTAGTACAGTTGTTGTTTCTCCCACGTGCCAAATGCCATCTAGAGCAGGGGTGGTGAACCGCAGTGGGCACACAGAACCCTCACTGTTGGCACACGAGCCAGCCTTCCCCAGCATCACCCCAGCAGCTGAGCATCACATAACTGTGCCCAGAGGGGGCAGCATTGGAGCTTTGCTATAAATAATTGGGCTTTGGGTTGCCGTTTGGGCGCTAGGTCTCTAAAATACCCACCATCACAGCTGTGGGGTCTTCACGTCAGTCTTTTCCTCCACGTCTGTGCACGCCAGCACAGTGTTCCCTCATTTATTCACCGAAGGTTAGTCGAGGGCTCTTTGTGTAGCAGCCAAAAGTTTAGATCTGCTCTGCATATGGCAAGGAGCAGAGGGGAAATGATCTGTCGTGTGGGGCTTGACATCTGGCGGGGCACTCTGACATGAAGCAGATGTGTATGCAAGTACTATTTGATTACGAGCAGTGTCATATGAGGGGAAGAGATGGGGCTACAAGATGTACAACAGGGATGTTTGAGCTGATGTGAATGCTAAAAGACCGAGTGCTCTGCAGGGCTCTAGAAGGAAGATGTAGCTGATAGAACAGGGCGTTGCGATGACGTGTCGTTGGGACATGTGAATGGAAGTGTCAGGTGAGTGATCAGAGTGCTGAAGTGAGGCTGTAATGCAGGTGGGTTTGGAAGTCCCCATCCAAGCCCGTGACCTTGGGGAAGAATTCGGTGTCACCTACTGCAGATGCCTTTCATCCCTGTACACAGCGACCAGGTGCCCAGTCTCACTCAGTGCTCTTCACCAAGACTTTAAAATCCACTGCTGGGTTATTTGTTTGTTTTGAGACAGAGTTTTGCCATGTGGTTCAGACTGACCTTGGACTCATTACGTAGCCCAAACTGGCCTCAAACTCATGGCAATCCTGCCTCAGCCTCCCAAGTGCTGGGATTACAGGTGTGTCCCACCACACTTAGCAGCTTTTATATCTTCTTCCTATTCTAAAACCACCACTCTTTTTTTAAAATAAATTCTATTTCTAGCAAAAGAACCCTATACTAAAGCAAATCTAGTGAAAAATGTCTCTATTAAAGTATAGATAAATATTGTGTTAGGAATTGAGCAACATAAACAAGAGGAACATTTTAAGAAGCAGAATAACTTCAGATTTCATGGAAGACAGCAGGGGGCAGATTTTGAGCAGACCGGATGGCTAATGACTCAAAGAATGTCTTACAAAGCAAAGTTGACTTCTGGGAGGCATTTCTAAATTTCTGTCATTTGTAGTCACTTGTTACAAGGCCAAGACACTCTGTCCTTAGTGACATTTCCTGACTTTGAAAGTAGTTACTGAAGTATGGAGTTAAGAATGTGCGGCGCCTTTCTAACCTAAAAACAAACAGTGCCACACCCATCCAGCAATCCATGCTCCTTTGAGATGACTTTAAGGTACCTGAACGTCTCACTGATTTCATTCATTTTAAGTGAAGGAAAGCACTGTGTTCCAGTGACCACTGTATTCAAGTGACTGGTGACGCCTTAAGCTGAGTGTGTTCCAAAGCACCTCCCCTCTCCACCTTTCCTTCCTGAGGTTGCTGCTTCCCTGGGCTTCCTAGGTTACTAAGCAGCACCTGCAGCCTTCTAGGCAGTGAGGCCAAATCCCTTGGAGATGTTCTCAATCCTTGTCCTTTGCTCATGCTGCCCTCCAACATTCACAAACCCCATCAGCTCTATCTACATAGCAAAAATACCTAGAAACCCAATACCTTGTCACCATCTCTGTTGTTGCTACCGTGTATTAGTTTCTACCATCTCCTGTTGGCAACTCTCAGGCACCTCCTAACTGGTTTTTTGCTCTTGTTGCCCTATGCCCAGCCGCCCCCTGCTCTGATTTTTGGGAGCTGTGGAGGAGACCATGGTTTCCTGCACCCTGACCTTAGTTCTGAATGACCTAATTGCTTCCCATCGAGGAACCCAACTAATACAAGAGTTGATCAACAAGAGGAGAACATAAAAGGTTCATTAATTTTACACATTCATGGAGATCTATATAAGAGAGTAAAGTCTGAAGAAATGACCAAAGCGTGATGCCTTTAAACCTTTTACACAGAGAACAGTAAATTTATAAACACCTGATAGGATAAATGAGATGGCCTAAAGTCATAAGGTTTCAGGGATGTTACCCTAGCTGTTTGTTCCACACCATTCTTTTTTCTGTTTCTGTTCTGGTGACCCTTTAGGAGAGAGGGTGTCTCTAAATGCCAGAAATAAAATTGCACCCTCCCACTAGGGTCTGTCCCTTCACAGCCCCCATGATAGTGTGGATGCATTTATTTATGTGACACCATCTCTGCCCAACTAGGTCTTCAGCCTGGTCTGCTCATGAACTTTGGTACCTTTTTTTTTTTTTTTTTTTTTTCCTGTTGTGTCTCCAGCTCTTAGAATAAGCACTCAGCAAATGTTTGGTTATAGACCAAAATGGCCCAATTAATACTTTTAAAACAAGAACCACCCACGTGTGTGTGTGTGTGTGTGTGTGTGTGTGTGTGTGTGTGTATGTTTTTGTGAAATAACATTCTTTTTTATTTTAGAAATAATACTCTGTTGCAGAAGACATCAAAAGAATTTCTGATACTTTTGATATGTTTTGATAATGTTAAAGTATCGCTGAAAAGCCAGCCTAAAGTAGAAACATTTCCAGTGACTCCCCCACCCCCAGCTTCTGGTGGGGATGGGAAGATATAATCTCCATGACTTCTGGGGTGCTTTGAAATCTAGGGTCCTCTTTGAAATGTCTGCTCCACAGGGCTCTGTTAAGGAGGTGCTGATTGACTGGGTAGAAGAAGGCTCACTGTGATGACAGCTACTTGATGGAAATTTTTTGTGTCTTCTGCCATAACAGTCAATCACAAGCATTCGTTTGAACTCAGAAATTGAAAAATATGTGATATCAGCCCTTGGTAAGATGAAGACAATGTCCTTGAGTATTTAGAAAGGCCACATTTTCTTCGAGTTTTTCAATTCCTTTCAATTTAGATGAGGATTTTGTATGACAAAATGTGTTCTGTCCCTTAAAACTGTCACGTGCCACTCGGTTGTCTCCTTGCTGTGGAGGTCACGTGTGTGGCAGTGTCACACTGTGGTGGTCAAGACACTGAGCAGAGGGACACTAAACTCGAGTTTCAAAACTTTCACTACTTGCTCTGGGTCCTCAGGAGGTCATTTCATCTGATTTGCTTCAGTTTGACGTCCGCGACTAGGAAGGTATAGAACAAGACGCTTCCTGAGACATTTTGTTCTTCTTAAGCTAAGTGCCTCAAACTTAAATCAACAGCTTCCCTTTCTCTTCTAAGTCATGAGGATGTGTTTATGACAGAAACATGATCTGTTTGACTTTATGAATTAGGTGTCTGGATAGCTATGAAAGACATTGTTTGGGGCCCTCATATGAGGTAGACAAAATTCTGATTGTTAGGACAAAAAAAATTTAAACAATTGACTCACTTCCTTGAGGCAAAAATACAATGTTTTTCTTATTCACATTTGGTTTTCCTGAGCACTAACATGTAAATCTTCTTTTTATGTTTTTGTCATTGTTTTAGTTGTATGTTTTTCTTGCTATTTTCTAATCGTGCTTTCACGGCTGGATATTTTCCTTCTCTTCTGTGATTATTTTGGTCTTTCTTTACTTTCTGTACTTTTCAGTCAACTCTTCGATGTATTAAGTCATCAAAGGGTTTTCATTTTACATTGC